TCATTTCAATTCTGTTTAGAACGGCTATTCTCAAATTGGAATCATCATTTATGTTGTGTAATCATATACCGGTATCTTGAACCTGTAAAATAAGTATGATGGATGACCAAGTCTTGGGTAACGAATATTATCCAGCCTCATGCATTAAGTTTTAGTATTATTCATCATACTATTATATAACGGACATTGATGGATGAATAACTCTCGTCGATTTCAAAATTATCAGAAAATTGATCATTTCAAATTAAAAGCAGGGGTTGAAATTTTTTGTATAGTGAGATGCTTTAGTGATATCCACCCACACGTAAATTGGAATCTTAAATTAAAAAAAAATTCATCAAGTCACATTTTTTTTTATTTTCATTGAATTTGTTGTTCAATATGTTTGTTTTGTACTGGTGTCTCAAGTTTTAGAATTTGATTTTGTTTCTTAATGGAATGTTGAAGAAAATACTATACTTAAAGTAACTAAGTCTCTAACTCAATATCATCCACAGTCTTCGACATTGAAAACACGAATTATTTGTCAATTTAAATCAACATTGATGTTGTAAACTTACCGGGAAAAGATGGGCTTCTGATATCCATTATTTAAGACAAAGTAAACATTTTACCATTGGTACACGAATCGTGTACCATAATGCGTTTCCGGGATCGAAGAACGAGGCTAGACATATTCCACAAGTCATGTGAAACGGTAACGCTATATTCTTACCTTGACAGCATGCGCATTAAATTCTAGACTGAAATAACCAGACGCTCGAGGTTGCCATTCGATTGAGGCTTCTTGCGTATTTCGCCGAACTGATTAGAAATTACAGTAAAAACAGTGAATCCTAACTCAAGTTATTGACCATCTAACGTTCCTGCCAGTTTCTATTTATTTCATGTCGCCGCATTTTTTTCTGCTAGAACGTTCCTTGAGATTTTCCATTGAGGTTTCCCCTTGTCAGTGACGTGAAACATGACATCTTCCAGGCGTTCACATGGCCTACTCTTATATCGAATTCCAACTGCCAATGGATCTTTTACGTACACGCCAATGTATACCTCGGTTTTTCGTCCCATCCGAAAGTCTAGACAGCTGTCCTTGTGAGGCCCTCCGTCCTGCGCCACTGACGAGGGGAGACCACGCCGGAAAATCCAATAAACCTTCTCGGGTAATGTAGTGATCGAACCCGCGATGTCCAGGCTAGCGAGCCAGCGTTTTACTCACTTAGCCACCGTGCCCCCCCCCACCCATCATCAATCTGATAAATTAATGTTACTATTAACACAAGTTGGTAGGTATGTATAATAATATAAATAAAATAAAAGGACTTGTCGTTGTTTAATCGGTTACTATAATCAGTATAATAACACGTTCAGCTAATCTTCTTGTAGATTTACTGGAAACAAATCAAGTTCTATCAGTTTTTAATTTTATAAACTTCTCTCCATCCCTTGTCTGTAATTTAAATATTTACACAATGTTTACACGAATAGTTGAATGTTTAACTATGTTCCTGCATCAAGTAGAATAAATTATTTAAAAGATAAAAGAAAAGTGTTAAAGACTCCACCTTGGTTTTTATATAATCCGGGTGATCTTAAAGAGAATGGGTCGACTTCTACAAGAAATGAAATAAAATGGGGTTTAATTCCTACTTTTCTGCACCGACTGGGCTAATGAAAACGGGTATATATATACCATACAGTGTGCTATGTGTCAAATTTGGCCCGGACAACGGCGCTACGGCTACTCTTATATTGAATTCCAACTGTCAAGGGTTCTTTTACGTGCACGCAAATGCGTACACAGGACCTCGGTTTTCCGTCCCATCCGAACGACTAGACAGCTGTACCCGTGTCCTCGGCTAATTGAAAATCCGAGGTCCCGTGTATACATTGGAATGCACGTAAAAGATCCCTTGGCAGTTGGAATTCGATATAAGAGTAGGCGATAGTGCCGCTGCCCGGGCAAAATTTCCCTCATGGCACACTGTATGGCGTATGCCCGTCTTCATTAGCCCAGTATAGGAGCAAAACAGTAGGACGTTAAATCCCATTTCATTTCAATTCATTTCCTAATACCAACCCACAGGACCACGAGAAGAGAGTAGATTTAGAATGAGGGGGGGGGGGGTATTTGTGATAAATTTAAAGAATTATTTGAATTTCATACAGTTGTTTTATTAAATTAGGATTCCAAATATTCACGTGGGTATATTATAAACTGAAACATTTATTCGTTTTGTGGTTAAAGATACATTATGTAAGAGTTAAATCTACCTATTGCGGATTCTTTTGGCGGCTTCTTATATTTAGACGTTTATTCACAAGACAAACTTATAAACAACTCTCTACACCATCGGATGGTCGAGATGTTACTGGAATTGAAGACCCAGATTTTATAATTATATGATAAAATGGATAGTCGAGACTTAGTCTCGATTGTTCAGTACCATTTGCCCATTGATACGATAATAAACGATCTACGCTATTTCTTCAAACAGTCATAATTTCTCCCAGAATAAAGTAATTTTAATGAAATTTTCAAAATATTCATTTTTCATTATTTATTTTTTAATTATTATAGCATGAACGTCCAACTCGTTTCTAAATCTTATTTATTTTTTAATTATTATAGCATGAACGTCCAACTCGTTTCTAAAACTTACATAATGCATCTTTAACTGTTAATTTTATTCAGTTATAGGGAAATGGGAGGGAAATGGGGCATAACATACACTCGACACACCGCCTGTCCAACCTAGTGGGTTTTCTCCGGGTCCTCCGGTTTCCCCCACTGCTAAAGACCCTTACGCGCAAGCGAATTATTGAAATTAAATTAAACCATACGTTAGTCCCGAAATGACCTAGTTTGTGTCGAGTGGACGTTAAATCCCATTTATCCCTCTCTCTCCCTATCTCTCTCTCGACACACACCAGGTCATTTCGGGACTATGACCAATTTAATGTTGAGTGGATGGATGACCGCATAGTTTAATGCGTGGTTTCCATTCCCCGTGACAAGGACTAACATATGGTTCAATTTTATTTCAATAATTCGCTTGCGCGTAGGAGTCTTTAGTAGTGGGAGGAAACCGGAGGACACGGAGAAAATCCACGGGGTTGGATGGGGGATCATACTCCTTGTCACGTACATATTCAGTTATAAGTGACCACTCTGTTTCACAGGGCGCAAGAACTGTCCAGAAACACATGGTACTTGATGAGCATTAACCAGGGGGTCTGGGTTCGATCCCAGTGTTGGTCGAGAATGTTCCGAGGGGTTTCCAGTGATGCAGCACAAAACCAGCGTCTAGTCGTTCGGGTGGGACGTTAAAGATCCCCTGACATTTGTAAAGCAAAATAAGAGTAGGTCACAGCCCCTTATAGCGCATTGTATGACGTATTTCCGTCCAGGTTAGTGTAGTGTAGAAAAGTAAATAAAGGGTTTCAACCGAACGAATGGGCGCTTTTCATGCGAGGTCCTTCGTCCAACAACACAGACTAATCACCGAGCTACAGTGCGTACGTGCCAACTACTACGAGAAGCGAAAATAGCTCAACATGCCTCGCGCACGACACGAATGTTAAAAACAACAAAACACAAAACTCCTGATTTCACCAGAAACAAATTTTACCATCGTGTCTCTTTAATAAGCTAGTATTTACACAGGTGTATTAGAAAAAGGTATACGGTTAAATTTTTCATTTTCTTTTTATTTTCTTACACATACTATACAATTTACAGAATTTATAAAGAAAAACTTCTTAGGTGTGTCCTTGAAGATCAACATTGACCAAGTGAGGATTACAGTATACGACGTGATCTGCATAACAAGCTAGTACTTTTAATTTAAAAATAAAATCCGGTCCGATTGAACATAGATAAGAATTAATTAGCCAATTATTATTATTTTCGTTTCAGTCAGTTTCCCCAATTGACCAAACCAGACGAGCTAAAATTGATTAATTGCAAAGGGTGCAAAGTTTTAAAGCAGTTTGATTATGATTTTTATTGTTGTTAATAGTTATCGTTATAACCAATAAAACCAAAAAATCATATCATTACAGGCCCGGTTTGATAGTTTGAGTTGACTCCTGGTGTGTGTTTTCTCCTGGGCACTTGCGCATGTCCGAAACTGATGTTTGCCTTAACAACGAAACTATATCTACTTCCTGCGGTGTGAGTTGGTTCCTGACCACTAGTCAGTACAGGAAAAAGTGTATCATGTACTTGATTAGAGTTTTGTCATTAATAAACATACTTGTTATCGTGATTAGCTGTTGTTTTAGTGATTAGTAGTTACACGATCAACGGATCTAAGTTGATTGGCTTGAGATTGATACTTCTATCGTTCGTGATTTGTTGCCGTTGTTTTTTTTAGTGATTAGTCGTTCTACACTAAAAAAAACAACGGCAACAAATCACGAACGTTAGAAGTATCAATTTCAAGCCAGTGCCCAGGAGAAAACGCACACCAGGAGTCAACTCAAACTATCACACCGGGATTGACAGCGCAGTGGACGCTTACGGCTGGCCACTTATTTGATTTTATATTAGTTGTTAATTTCTTGCAGTGTAGAGTAGTTTTCATTTCTAGCTTTATACGCAATGTTTCGTCAAAATCGGATAAAAATTGTGACCTCTAGAAAAGTCATTGATGGCAATGAATAAACCAGACCCCCCCCCCCCCCAAAAAAAAAACCGTGGTGTGAATCCAAACACTTATTCAAAGGGAGACAACCCTCATTAGCGACTCTTCTCTCCCAAGAGAACGATAAAAGAGTTCAATCCTATTTCCGGCTATTTCATCTTTTTTCTGTTTACAAAAATTAAACGGATTTATTACAGTTTTTTGTAATTATTAATTGGTTTGTAATATTTAAATTTAATTTCAATTAAGTTATTGATTTCGGAAAACATACAACAATAATTTGGTAAAACGTCAGACCCAAGTACAATGCTTTCTTTCGACACGAATCCACAAAAATCCAGTATTTTCTAGAAATTCTAGATTTTTTAACGGACCTAGATTTAAATGTATTAAAATAGTCAACCAGCAAAGTTATCACTTCGCGTTTTGTGAGTTAAATGTAATAGACGTCTTTGGATTTTGTATTCAATGTACCGATATCAGCTTTTATTTGCAAAATAAGTAAGCAAGCTTAATCAATATTTTTAAAGACCTGCAATATAGGCAGATTTATTTAGCTTTTGCATGCACATGTACATGTTGAGCGCAGACTGCCCCTCACGGACAGATTACCCTGGTGTATGTGCGAATCTCCGTCTAATTTTCGTTGACTAAACTGTGTGTGCGCAGTGAACTCTCTGCAGGGTATATTTAATGGATTACCGCGCTGATAATCCGCCCGGTCATTGAATATTTCCTCTGTTCTGTACATACTCAGTATTCAGTGGATCACTGCATTAGTTTTATTTGTTTAACGAAATTTGTGACCATCAGTTTCCTGGTATAAGTACGATCCAGGTCATGCGAAAAGCTAAGAATGATCACATAGTTGATAATACCTTAAACGAAGAAGATTCTATTTTTGTATTGGTAGCATGCCATTGTCCGAAACAACCAACGATTTCATCCAAATCTTCAAAGGGTATATTTAGGTGGAATTGCATACAATAATATATTTTAGTAGTAACTGACCAATTTTTTGCTGCGGCACAACCTGACAGCCTTTGAAAAAATTAGGCCCACAGTTTACTGGTACAAGTAGGCCTACGAGAAAAGCGATACGGAAAGAAAAGTATGATCGCACTGTTAATTACCTAAAAGTTAAAGGAAAGCAATTGCGAGAATTAGAAACATGTACATTGCACTTTGATAAAATATTTAAAAATCTGTCAACTGTTTTTATGTTAACTCTACAAAAATAACACTGAAGTTTAGGTTAATTACAGCAATTGGACATTCAGTCACTTGATCTGTTGACGTATAGTGAAGATTATCCGCGGACTCGAACTTAAATCTTATTCTTAGCACACATGCTACAGTAATTATGCAGCGATGTTGAAAATTATTTGAAAAATCATTAGAAAGTCGATAGTTGACAGAACCTACATGGAGCATCTAACATCCTACTTTGATTATTAAAAAAATGGCTGAATGGTTAGCGTGCGCACGCTGTATCATAAAGTCTGTCATTGAGTCGACTGGCGTGGTTTTGAATCCCCGGTTGTACGTGACAAGGAGTAGGGTCGCCTGTCCAACCTCGTGGGTTTTCTCCGGGTCCTCCGGTTTTCTCCCACTGCTAAAGACCTACGCGCAAGCGAATTATTGAAATAAAATTAAACCATATGTTAGTCCTGAAATGACCTAGTTTGTGTCGAGTGGACGTTAAATCCCATTTCTCTCTCTCTCTCTTAAAAATGTTGTGGAGTAATCAGCGCAAAGTTGACAATTTGCGCACTAGCTTGATAAACGTAGATTAGAATCGGCAGGGTCCAGTCTGCACCGACGAAGTGGACTCTGCGTGAGGAGTGGAGAATGCGTCCAACATACATAATCACATATTGCATCTTTAGATTCTAAACAATGATACTTCAACGATTTTATGTTTGTTTTTCTTTATTTCAGATAAAAAACTGAGAATTATCAACAACTTGATTTGAACGAGAGATCATGAATTAAGCTTTAAGTGCCATGCATTTCAGACATTAAATATATCTTTAGTCTTTAATATTGGTAGATTTTATACATATAGCCATGTCCGCCACACGACCTACAATAAACAATAACTATCTCCCAGAAACCCCTTCTGTTATAATGATGCCATCACGGCTACAGTTCCTGGCGCCCAATAATTACACGTCATGTAACCAGTTCACGTTTGGTTCACCGACCCAATCGTCAGCCTGTACTTCATCCCAGCAAATGCCGATATCCTCATCGCGGGGAATATTTATGCACAGAATGTCAGCGCCTGGTTTGGGCGTATCCTGGCAACATACAGTACCGAAGACAATGCCTTGGTCAGAAGCATCGGCTATTCAATTTACATCTCGACCAATCACATCAGCATGTAGATTTAACTCGAGGTGAGTATAAAGCAGGGTTGTTACGTGCTTGGAGTGCTTGCACGGAACTGTGGGTAAACCCCTAGAAACGTCAACGCTGATTGATTAATCAAATGTCAGAGGTCATAGGGTCAAAGGCCGCTCTTTTAACCCTTGACGTGACCTCCCAGTACAACTGGTCAGATGTTCATGTACTACATGACATGTACATGTAGTGTAGGCCATCGAAATTATAAAAAAACGAAACGAAATAGAGATCTGTATTTTAATCGGATTGGGCCAGAAGGCAGCTGTCACAGACTTGTCAGACAATTTATCACATTATATAAAGCCTAGACATAAGGCACTTGCTGGGGGGTTTGGGTGGCCAAATGGTTAGCGCGTGCACGCTGTATCATAAGGCCTGTCATTGAGTCAACTGGCGTGGTTTCGAATCCCCGGTTGTACATGACAAGGAGTAGGGTCGCCTGTTCAACCTCGTGGTTTTAACATAATCAACTCTCAATGTCATCGCTAGTCTGCACTGTTTATTGGATTAGGATCCGATTTGCTGTTATTCCATTATGATTTAATCATGAAATGTTTAAAAGACTATGTTTTTTATCGTAACGACTTTAGTAATGTTGATCGAGGCTAGGCCGAAAATTCTATCGCGAAAATCTCACTTTGACTGAAATTTTCAGCAAATTGCCTTTACACTATCTAGTTTTTAACTATTATAGTGAGAACTAGCAACTCTTTATCTAATCTCCCATAATGTATCTTTAATAAAACCCTGATTTCATACAACAGGGTCCATCAACCATGATTTGAATACATGTAGGCCCTAAATAGAATGAAAATAATGTTTTTATCTTTCATACAGGTAATCATAAAAAATAGAGTTGATTTTTGATTATTTTAAAGGTATCTATTTTCTGTTTTTAGAACATATGGTCAATGTTCGTCATCGTCATCACTTCCACAACCCAAACCAAAACGACATCTAGTTACATTTGATGATGAGTATGTTTTTATTTATTTATTTATTTATTTATTTATTTATTTATTTATTTATTTATTTATTTATTTTATGTAAAGCAGAAATCAAAGAGTTCATGACATGACACTGTAACCCGGATATCATTTAATCTTGTGTGTCTAGCACTAATTTCTTTTACATTTGTTTAATATCAAATCTTTGTTTAAAAATTCGTAAAAATCATTTAAAATCACCAAAAGTTATCTAATTTCTACTTGTGTCTAGTTTAAAGCTGACCTTTCAATTTTGATACTGAGTGTCCAATTTACAAGTGTTCACTGTTAAATGTTAACTAAATTGACTATTGATGTATAACGATTAATTTTTGAACAGTAGTAAGGAAATTAAATACTTGTAAATTAGACACTCATTATCAAAATTTATCAGTCAGCTTTAAACTGGACGCATGTACAAATTAGATGTTTTGGGGTGATTTTAAATGATTTTTTACAAGTTATTAAACAAAGATTTGATATTAAACAAATGTAGAAAAAACTTAGTGCTAGATACACAAGATTAATTGATACCCAGGTTACAGTGTGAGGAATCATTTGGCTTACAACCAGTAGGTCTCAGTATTAGCCGAGAAAAATTCTCCATTCTGATCAAAACAGATCCTATTTAGTTTGTTGATTTTTTTGTTGTTGTATAGTTTAGAATAACGTATTACTGGTCTTCCGATGTGGTTTCCCCTTGTCAGTGGTGCAGGAAGGAGGGCCTGACAAGGACGACTGTCTAGTCATTCAGATGGGACGAAAAACAGACTTCCCATGTACACATTGGCATGCTCGTAAAAGATTCCTTGACAGTTGTAATTCGATATAAGAGTAGGTCGTAGTGCTGCTGTCCGGACAAAATTTCCCTCATAGCACATTGTATGGAATATGCCCATAAAAATATTGTTTTACTGGTCTTCTGTGCACTAGGATCTGAAAGGCTTGTCATATAAACCACATCCTGGTTGATGTGAGGAATTAGCCAATCAAATGGTCTGTTCAGTTTGTCTATATCATTATTTTAGCCCAGTCAGTGCAGGAAAGTAGGACGTTAAATCTCATTTTATTTTGACAACCTCAAGGGGTTTCTCCGGGTCCTCTGGTTTCCTCCCAGACTCCCACCTAAAGACCCCTACACGCAAGCAAATTATGGAAATAAAATTTAAACATGTGTTAGTCCCGAAATGACCTGTGTCAAGTGGACGTTAAACCCCATTTCTCTCTCTCATTTGATCTACAAAATTTGTTTTATCCAGGGCCACACCTAATAAACGTTTATTAACAGAAGAAAGAATGGCTGCTAGAATGGAGAATTTATTTATAGGTAAATCACCAGCTCATGTACTAGGGAAAGATAACTCTAACACTACTGATAGCTGGGAAAAATTTCTACAGTTGGAAGAGAGGTTAGTTTTCTTCTTAAATTTATTAATTTTTATCAAATTTATCCGTGAAATCCGGTAAGAGTGTACTGTGTGGATTTATCTCATTTACAGGGGCTGTGGGGGTCTAACGTGTGCTTTAGATCAGAAGGTCTGTCATTGAGTGGAGGGTTGGATAGCCGAATGGTTAACATGTGTGCGCTGTATTATAAGGTCTGTCATTGAGTCAAGTGCATGACTTCTCCTCCTAGCATCTAGGGGGGTTGGATGGCCGAATGGTTAGCGTGTGCACAATGTATCATAAGGTCTGTCACGTATGTAACTAACGTACGAAAATTAATTGGTGGCTAGCTTTTTTTTTGCACGTATACAGTGAATGGCCATTTTGCTCAGTAATCCAAGCACGAATTTGGCTATTTTCTAAATTTGCGTTAAAGTTTAAAATATTTGTTTTAGAACTGAAACACATTAACTATTAGTCAATCCCAACGCTAAAAACATCAACAGAATTGATTGTGTATATCTGAAATAGACCCGACCGACGCACAAAATAGTGCAATATGGCGGCCTCTTTTTTGTGAAAAATCATTGGAAGAAGAGAGAACATGTTGGGACTGTACGAATTATATAGTCTTTATGGGTGCAACGGACACAATGCTGAAGATAAACCTATTGTTTACAATGTTGACCCCATGACCTATTGACGCCAATGTCATGACCTGTGATGTGTAGATCACGTGATATGGATATTATGGCTACTGACTGTGTCTGAGATACTTCTCCGCAGGTAGCGTGTCTCAGATGTTCAGAATGGGTCTGTCATTAAGTCAAGTACATGTAGCATGGTTTCCATCCCAAGATTGTATGTGATTAGAAATGGGGTCTCCTGCCCAACCCCGTGGATTTTCTCCAGGTCCTCCGGTTTTCTCCCACTGCTAAAGACCCCTGCATGCAAGCGAATTATTGAAATAAAATTGAACGATATGTTATTCCTTGTCACGGGAAATCGAAACCATGCATTAAACTATCCGGCCATCCAACATTAAATAGGGCATATTATTGATTTTTGAGATACGTGGCTTATGTATTTTTTTTTTAATGTGGTCTTGTGTTGTCATTGTCCAGAATTTCTTGAGAATATTCAAAAGAATACATTTATCTTCCGATCTTTTTAAAATTTATAATTTGTTTACATCAGAAAACTCAACTGGCCTTAGTCATTCTATAGAATCTTGTGAGGACTCTATAGACCAATGTTACCCTCCGATCTGTTTGAAATTTACACACACTGTTCAGATTAGGGTAATGAAGTGGTATTTGCTGATCAATTTGACTGGAATTTTCAGCATATTCCCTTTACATTATCTAATTTTTAACTATTATAAGTGAGAACAGCCAGCTCTTCACCAAATCTTCCATAATTCCCATTTAAGTATATGTAGAGTTATGGCCCTTATTTACTTTGAAGAATCTTGTGAATACTCTTGCAACAAAATTTGTCATCCAGTCTTCTTGTTAAAGTTTGTCTTCCAGTCTTCCTGCTAAAACTTGCCATCCAGTCTTCCTGTTAAAGTTTGTCATCCAGTCTTCTTGTTAAAGTTTGTATACATGGTTAAGAATAATTTCTGATAATTACTTACAGAGTTTTGGGCCTTGATTATGTACATGATGGGAATAATCGATTGAACATTCCGGAATTAATTCTCTCAATTACGAAAATATCTCAACCAATCATGGCAGCTGAATCATATTTGTTTCTTAAAATACCAACACCACCTCAGCTGTCGGGACTGGCAGAACTTTGACAGGACTGAATTCTGCATCACTTGATTGCGATTCTGTCAATTTGGGACGTTCCGAACTGACAATCAAGCACCCCTGGATATTAGATTACGTAGAGATTTGAGTTTTTATTTACCGAATCATTCACAACGCAACAATATTTTGTGAAATACTTGGACGACTTTACATATACTTGCTGTTGCTCTTGGTTATTATGCTGCAGAATCTTGTTCAAACTCTGGCGTAAAGATTCCATCTTTGTGCAATACTCAGACGATGTAGTTGTAGTGGGCGTATGTTTCGTTCCCTGGCAACCTATTGTATGATATTGCAGATTGAAGGATGATGAGATAATAATAGAAGATGAAAGAATGACAGAAGAAAGAATAAATAACAATGGTTTTAAAATATCGGATGATCTGAAAGATAAAATATTTTCTCGAGAACCAATTTTACCCTCACAAGTTTTACAAAACCTGTAAGTAATGTTAAACATGGTGCCAATTGCACTGGTCAATGAAATGAAATGAAATGGTGTTTAACGTCCTACTGTTCTGCTCTGAACTGAGCTAATGAAGACGGGCATACAGGCATACGCCATACAGTGTGCTATGAGGGAAATTTTGCCCGGACAGCGGCACTACAGCCTACTCTTATATCAAATTCCAACTGTCAAGCGATCTTTTACATGCACGCCAATGTGTACATGGGACCTCGGTTTTTCGTCTCAACCGAAGGACTAGACAGCTGTCCTTGTCAGGTCCTACATCACTGACAAGGGGGAACCACGCCGGAAAATCTGGATGAACTTTCTCGGCCAATTCAGGGATTGAACACCCGACCTTCAGACTAGCGAGCCAGCGTCATACCCACTTAGCCACTGTGATCCCCGGTCAATGCAATCAAATTTATAAACAGATTCAAAATAAACTCACTGTCAAATATTTAAATTTGTAAAATATTCGGTCTATTGAACAATATTCTGGTCCTCAGATCCTCCCCAAAACTTTGATGCAAGTGGGGGGGGGGGGCGGTTTGGGGTGGCGGGAGTGGCGGGGGCCAAATGATCACTACTAGGCTAGGGATTACATTTGTCTCATCATGTTGTCAAATGTATGATTATCCAGTTTCATTTTTGACTGTCAGTAACATCTATCATGTTTGCATATTTGATAATTGAGACTACGGTACATTTCTAGATTCATAGAGTTCCTTTAGGTAACTAGTTGTTCGGATGGAATGGAAAACCGAGGTCCTGTGTACAAATTGGCTTGCACGTAAAAGATACCTTGACAGTTGGAATTCAATATAAGAGTAGGCTGTAGTGCCGCTGTCCAGGAAAAATTTCCCTCATAGTACACTGTATGGCTATGTCCGTCTTCATTAGCCCGGTTCGGAGCAGAATAGTAGGACATTAAACCCCATTTCATTTTCTATAAAGGACTTTTTTGATATTACCCACTTAGCCACGTGATCCCCAAACTACTACACTAGGATCGGGAAGATTTGTCATATTACAGGTGTTCTAGTTGATGTGAGGAATTAGCCAATGAAACTGTCTGTTACAGCAAGTTCTTGGCGTGCTCTGCACGGAACTGTGGGTAAACACCTAGATTTTCCAGTGTGGTTCCCCTTTGTCAGTGGTCCCGTGTACACATGGGAATGCCTTAAAAAAAGTTCTTTGCAGTTGGAACTAAACGTAGCGTCACTGTGTGGGAGAAAAGTTTCATCAAAACAAATTATGGCATACCCGTTTTCATTAGCTCAGTTGGAGCAGAACAGTAGGATGTTAAACCCCATTTCATTTCATATCTTTTCATTTCAATAAAAAACTGTTGTTACATGGTTTTTTTTTTGTGATTGCAGAAGTCAGCCATCTTTACAGCTTGTACTGTGGAAACCACCAGAAGGGGTCGTATCAGAAATATTACAAAAGGTTAAAAAGGAGAAATACGAGGACAAAGATTCTAATGTAGATTATCGTCGTGACAACCAGATTAACCAATCATTAGACAGAGAGAAAGAGATTCAGTCAATCAAGTAAGCAGACATTTTTATTTTCTTGTTTTTATGTACTGTCTGTAATAGTCGGTCTTGGTTCAAATGCGATCAAGCATTGAAGACATGTTCTAAAAAGGACGCTGGCTCGCTAGCCTGGAGGTCGGGTGTTCGATCCCTACATTGACCGAGAAAGAACATCCAGATTTTCCGGCGTGGTTCCCCCTTGTCAGTGATGCAGGACGGAGGGTCTGACAAAGACAGCTGTCTAGTCGTTCGGATGGGACGAAAAACTGAGGTCCTGTGTACACATTGGCGTGCACGTAAAAGATCCCTTGACAGTTGAAATTTGATAGAAGTGTAGGCCGTAGTGCCGCTGTCCAGGCAAAATTTCCCAAATAGCACACTGTATGGCGTATGTCCGTCTTCATTAGCCCAGTTAGGAGCAGAATAGTAGGACGTTAAACCCCATTTCATTTTCTAAAAAGGACTTTTTTGATATTATTACATTTATATATATTTGAAATATAAATATAAATTATGTGGGGACCCTTCAGGACTAAATCTTATGAAATATATTTATGGATATATTTATGTTTCTGTTGTATTTTTTTAATTACAGTACTAATGATATTACCGAAATGGATGTGGAAATGTTTGATAATGTTGACGATGAAATGTTGTTATGACGACAGTTATAAGTAGAATACCATATAGATACTGTATCGAATCATCATAAATTATAGAAAGGTTGACTTGCTATCCATGAAAATAAACGAACAACCTATGATCTGTTGTCATGGTTTCTATTGATCTTAGCAACATGTTCCTCTGTTGTCATGACTTCCAGGGATCTTAGAAACATGTACCTCTGTTGTCATGGTTTCCAGGGATCTTAGCATCATGTACCTATGTTGTCATGGTTTCCAGGGATCTTAGCATCATGTACCTATGTTGTCATGGTTTCCAGGGATCTTAGCATCATGTACCTCTGTTGTCATGGTTTCCAGGGATTTTAGTAATATATACCTCTGTTGTCATGGTTTCCAGGGATCTTAGCAACAGGATAAGATAACATCCACTCCAAACCCGTTTGTAATAAACCAGTTATTTAGAACCCCAGATAACTTTCAGTAATTAAGCTTAACCAAAAATAAAATTGACATCAATTCAAATATTTCTTGTGTCAATGAAGTTTTACAAAACAAGTTATATTTAATTCAATATTTCTTCCTGTCAGTGAAGATTTACAAAACAAAGGACATTTAATTCAATATTTCTTCTTGTCAGTGATGTGTTATTTACGAATGTTTTTTTTTATTTTTAAGTATTACTTATACACTCAAAATCAAAAGGACAAGTTGTGCCTTAATTATTATATGATTTAGCTCCCATGATGTTTTTTTTAGCCTATTATTAATGTATTACATGTTTTAATTATTGACTATGTTGTGATGGACCAAATTACCTATAAATAGCATCTGTATATTATCATACATCAATAATACTTCACATCTTCATGATATTACCGCGCATAAGTCTGAACGGTGACAGACATCTTTATATTGTCATATTTCAATAGTCGGCCTACTTGTTTACATATGTCAATAGTAGGCCTATTTGTTTACATATGTCAATAGTAGGCCTACTTGTTTACATATTTCAATAGTTGGCCTACTTGTTTACATATGTCAATAGTCTGCCTACTTGTAATTACATATGTCAATAGTCTGCCTACTTGTTTACATGTCAATAGTAGGCCTACTTGTTTACATATGCCTATAGTAGGCCTACTTGTTTACATGTTTATAGTTTTTATGTGTAAAATCACTTGAAATTGTTTAGAACAAATATCAAGGTAATCTGAAAGTAAACACGGTTGACTAGCTGTCAAAATGTTTAAAGTGTAAGCCTAGTATTGGTATCACTGTGGGCCGTATGATTGTCATGATCAACCAGTCTAGTGCTTATATTGCTGTGTTATTATAGGCATGATGAACCAGTCTAGTGCTGCTATAACTGTGGACTGTATGATTGTAGTCATGATCAACCAGCCTAGTGCTGCTATTACTGTGGACTGTGTGATGATCAACCAGTCTAGTGCTTATATTGCTGTGTTATTATAGGCATGATCAACCAGTCTAGTGCCACTATGATGGTAGTCATGATCAACCAGTCTAGTGCCACTATCATTGTGGACTGTGTAATGACAATCATGATCAACCAGTCTAGTGTTGTTATCACTGTGGGGCTTTATGATGGTAGTCATGATCAACCAGTCTAGTGCTGCTATCATTGTGGACTGTGTAATGACAATCATGATCAACCAGTCTAGTGCTGTTATCACTGTGGGGCTGTATGATTGTAGTCATGATCAACCAGTCTAGTGTTGTTATCACTGTGGGGCTGTATGATTGTAATCATGATCAACAAGTCTAGTGGTCTGATAGTTATGTATTATATATTTTTTATAGGTATCTTTGATTGTTAAATATGTAGATCTTAAATTATAGTCTGTTCACTTTATGAACACATGAAACAAGCAGTGGAAAACGATGACAACTCTCGTAAAGTAGGTCTAATGTAGCTGGAGACTAGTAGTAGGAGGACATCTAAACTGGGATCTCAGCTGTACATAGGGGGTTCAGGAAGATGACGAAATGAGAAACAACCCCTGTATCCAGTGACGATTAATCAACTCCTTGGTAGTAATAAACAGGGGTTGCTTCTCAATATATTTATCAACACATCTGTTATATGTTAAAGTTGCAATTCGATATCAGAGTGGTACTGCCGTCCAGGCAATATTTCCCTTGTACCACACTGCTTGACGCATGTCCGTCTCCAATAACCCTGGTGGAGTAGAAATGCGACCTTTCGATATCATAGTGCTGCCACCATTCAGGCAAAATTTCCCTCATAGCACACTGGCTGTCTTCATTAGTGTGGCTGGAGCAGAAACACAAAATGTAAAAACCCATTTTATTTTATTATTCAAATTGTTAAGAAAGAGAGAGAGATAAGTGCGGTTTAACATCCACTCAACACAAACTAGGTCATTTCGGGACTAACATATGGTTTAATTTTATTTCAATAATTTGCTTGCGCGTGGGGGTCTTTAGCAGTGGGAGGAAACCGGAGGACCCGGAGAAAACCCAGGAGGTTGGACAGGCGGGGATTCGAAACTATGCCAGTTGACTCCATGACAGGCTTTATTATAACCATTCGGCCATCCAACCCCCCTGTTAAGATAGAGTGTTAAAAATATTAGAATATTTTGCGATATGAATTGTCTTATAATGTGAACAGACTATAATAGAAATGTTTATTTTTGTATTATGAATATTTTGTGCTTCTACATTCTCGTTGTTCGATCAGCCTATTGACTGAAATATAGGCTAATGTCCATAGCTGAAACTGAATTTTACATGGAGGTCCAAGCCTCCTTTTCCTGGCTTCAGCCTAGTTAATTTATACTGAAATATAGGCTAATATCCCTAGCTGGGACGGACTTTTACATGGAGGTCCAAGCCGCCTATTCCTGGCTTATACTCAAATATAGGCTAATGTCTATAGCTGAAACTGACTTTTACATGGAGGTCCAAGCCTCCTATTCCTGGCTTCAGCCTAGTTGATTTGTACTGAAATATAGGCTAATATCCCTAGCTGGAACGGACTTTTACATGGAGGTCCAAGCCTCCTATTCCTGGCTTCAGCCTAGTTGATTTGTACTGAAATATAGGCTAATATCCCTAGCTATAACAGACTTTTACATGGAGGTCCACAAGCCTCCTATTCCTGGCTTCAGCCTAGTTAATTTGTGATGAAATATAGGTGAATAATATCCCCAGTAAACCTCATTTATACATGGAGGTCCTAGTGTGCTATTCTTTGGTATCAGCCATGTTAATGTATAATGAAATAGACTTTTTATGTATTCCTAGTACTAGTTTATACATGGAGGTCCTAGAGCGGACGATTCTTTGGTTTCAGCCATGTTATTTTATAATGAAATACGCTTTTCATGTATTCCTGGTACTAGTTATACATGGAGGTCCTAGAGTGGGTGATTCTTCCCAAAAACTACAAGCTAAAGAGTACTAGTAGCCCTGGACCTTTCTGTCAGGTAATTATTAAGTAATAGAATTAGGACATTGATATATTTGTGCTTTTGAATAATTGACAATCGCGACTTTTATATGTGTTGTTTTATTTTTGGAGGTAATTGATATTGTGTTTATATGTTGTGATGTATGTATAAAATACGTGATTTCTCGAAGTTTTTCTTTAGTTGTTAATTAAATGTACAAGGTATAGATTACGAGTATAAGAACTACCTAGACACATGTAGTATGTAATGATGATACATTGTAAACATGTTGTATATTAATGTAATGATGATAAGTTGTAAACATGTTGTACATAAATTCAGTATGTAATGATGATAAGTTGTAATCATGTTGTATATATAAATGTATATAATATACTCTTACTGTACTGGTGTATGTAATACTGGTGCACTGTCACTACTGGTGTATGTAATACTGGTGCACTGTCACTACTGGTGTATGTATAGTATATTATACCGTTATATACTATATATTATACTGTCACTACTGGTGTATGTATAGTATATTATACCGTTATATACTATATATTATACTGTCACTACTGGTGTATGTAATACTGGTGCACTGTCACTACTGGTGTATGTAATACTGGTGCACTGTCACTACTGGTGTATGTAATACTGGTGCACTGTCACTACTGGTGTATGTATAGTATATTATACCGGTATATACTATATATTATACTGTCACTACTGGTGTATATATAGTATATTATACTGTCTCTACTGGTGTATATATAGTATACTATACTGTCACTACTGGTGTATATATAGTATATTATACCGTCGCTACTGGTGTATATATAGTATATTATACTGTCACTACTGGTGTATATATATAGTATACTATCACTACTAGTGTATATATAGTATATTATACTGTCAATACTGGTGTATATATAGTATACTATACTGTCACTACAGGTGTATATATAGTATATTATACAGTACCGGTATATTTGTAGGTTATTATTCAAATAAATATAATCCTCTTTATACATTTAGCTATTTCTTGTTTTTGTGGATGTGGGTGTGTGTAGGGCGGGGTGAGTTGTGTGATTTAACAAGTGTGCTTCATATCATAAAGTCCATCATTGAGTCAAGTGGCAGGGTTTCGAATCCCCGGTCGTACGTGACAAGGAGTAGGGTCCTCTGTCCAACCTTGTTTGGGTGGGGGGGGGTGAGTGTGGGGGATTAGTTGTGTGGTTCTAGGTGTGTGCGTCAGATCAAAAGGTCTGTCTTTGCGTCAAGTGGTGCGTCGTCTATCCGACCTTCTTCCCCCCCCCCCCCCCCCCGACACTGCCAGGGAATTCTTTGAATAAATTGAGCTGTATATTAGTCCAGAAATGGCCTAGTTTGTGTTGAGTGGACATATTTACTGTCTGTTGACTACATACAAATACTATGGTGGACATCTTGTCTGCATAAATGGCAAGGCTATACACAGCGGAAACTGAAATAGAGATAAATAGGGTTTAACATCCACTCGACACAAACTAGGTCATTTCGGGACTGGTTCAATTTTATTTCAATAATTCACATGCACGTAGGGGTCTTTATATAGATAAGCTGTAGAAGGTAACTGGACAACTCGGAGAAAACCTGCGAGGCTGGACAGGCAACCATACTCCATGTCATGTACAAGCAGGGAATCGAAACCACGCCACTTGACTCAATGACAGACCATATGATTAAATGAAATGGGGTTTAACTTCCTACTTTCTTGCTTGGGCTAATGAAGACGGTATATGCCATGGAGAGTGTGTGAAGGAAATTTCGCCCGGACAGCGGCGCTACCGCCTACTCTTATTTTGAATTCCAACTGTCAAGGGGTCTTTTACGTGCACGCCAATATGTACACGTCACAGACCCTTGTTATTTTTGTCCCATCTGAACGACTATACGCTGTTCCTTGTCCAATCGGGGGGTTGCATGGCCGAATGGTTAGCACACTCGCGCTGTATCATACGGTCTGTCATTGAGTCAGCTGGAGGGGTTTCGATTCCCCGGTTGTACGTGGCAAGGAGTAGGGTCGCCTGTCCAACCTCGTGGGTTTTCTCCGGGTCCTCCTGTTTCCTCCCACTGCTAAAGACCCCTATGCGCAAGCAAATTATTGAAATAAAATTGAACCGTGTGTTCGTCCTGAAATGACCTAGTTTGTGTGGAGTGGACGTTAAACCCCATTTCTCTCTCCTTGTCCAATCTGGTTAAAACACAGATCCTATTTCGTTTTGTTTTTATAGTTCAAAATTTCGTTTTACTTGTCTTTACTACACTAGTAACTCGTAGTGGAGGCCATGGAAAGTATAAAAAAACAAAACGAAATATAGATGTGTATTTTAATCAGATTGTTCGTCGTCTTGCCCTCCACCCTACACCACTTCGAGGGGGAACCACACAGGAAAATCCTGATGAACTTTCTTGGCCAAAACCAGGATTGAACATGGGACCTTCAGGACAGGGGACCAATGTCTCACTCGCTGAGTCACTGCGGCTCCCTTCGGCAGCCCAGGATTCTACTAAAGGATGGTTCAATAGCATGGATCTTTCGTTTGCCTGATATCACAACGGCATGGTTCGTTGAGATATTTTCTTATGCAGTCACACATTCGTTGTAGTCCGAAATCCCCCTTTTCACTCGATTGTCACTATTTTTGTTCAATTCCGGAATATTCAATCAGGCCCCAAGTTCACAAAGCATTCTCAGACTTAGTTAAGAGTTTACTCAACTTTCAATCACTGTTTACGAGAAATATCTTTGATCCAGAAACACAAAACTTTGTACATAGTTTGTTATTGATGTATTTGATACATTAAAGATATATTTTAGTTACAATAGGCAAACAATTTTGAGTAAATTCTTAACTTAAGCTTTGTGAACTTGAGGCCAGGTTTCCCCAAAAGATTTACTGCCAAGGGAGGTAAATAGTCTTTCAAAATGGTGGTCGAGTGTCTGTCATAAATAAGAGATAATTCAAATATTAGTATATTAATTTTATTGCACTATAATATTTATATAAGAATATGTATATACAGACATCAGGGACTGTATACAGAATACCTATATATTACAAATTACTGATATCAGGGGCCGTGTATAGAATACGTATATACAGATATCAGGGACCGTACATAGAATACGTATATACAAATATCAGGGACTGTATACAGAATACGGATACATTACAGATACATTGTATACATATATATTACAGATATTTTACCACTTTATATACAGATATATAATTTATCTTTCTTTACATGGAATTCCCAGCTTTACAATATAACCACATTCACCTAGAGATAATTAAGAACTGCATAACAAATTAGTACACTAACTTTCCAAAATGGTGGCTATTCAGAACAGAGAGAGAGAAGGTTTAACGTCCACTCGACACAGACTAGGTCATTTCGGGACTAAAGCATGGTTCAATTTTATTTCAATAATTCGCTTGCACGTAGGGGTCTGTAGCAGTGGGAGGAGACCTGAGGGCCAGGAGAAAACCCACGAGGTTGGACAGGCGACCCTACTCCTTGTCATGTACAACCGGGGAGTCAAAACCAAGCCAGTTGACTCAATGGCAGACTTTATGATACAACACGCACGTGCTAAACATTCGGCCATTCAGAACAGAGATCTATTCTCAACAAAAACAGTTCTCTGTGTGCAGAATTTGAACATTGGGTAACCATGGTAACCATGCAGAATGGAAACATTGGGTAACCATGCAGAATGTGGAAGTACTATATATATAATAGGTTTATAATAAATATATATTTTATTATTCTAACATCCCAGCTCATGTTTAACACAACCCTCAGGCTTTATGATACATAATAAATAATCACATGACAGCAGATGGTCCTTTATAACAATGGTTCACAATCTACTTACACTCACGGATCCATTTTACAAATGTCTAACGACTCCAACATCTGTATTCACTGTGTTCAGTCAGGTTTCTTATATTAGGACAATTAAATGGGTAATAGGACAGGTACAAGCCTCCACTTCTCACATAAGCCATGTGTGGTACATGAACCCCATATGTTGGTACATCTATACCTTTTATTATTAGGGGTTTCAGGTCAAGTGACTTTAGCGTGAAATCGGACAGCCAGAGGCTGAAATATACCCCACTTCAATCTATGATTCTGAATTACTATTTTATGTAAATGCATTACTAGCAATTGTATTGCAATAGTTTAATATCAATCTCAATATCTGCAAAGATTCAGGCTAAAAAAATATCGAAATGTAAGCGAAATTACGGTTTGTTTACATGAGACGCTCGCGGGAAAATACCGCTCTGATGTCACGCAGCCTGAGATTTTCCATTGCTACGACTCACTTCATTGGTGAATCTGCACCTTAGTTACCGGGGGATTTTGATATAGAACCAATCAAACGACAGATAAAATTTTTGTGATTATTATGCTTGTTGATACCACGTGGTCGGACAATTAGACCCGGAGAAAATGGGATTTATCTGTTTTGATGACTGAAAATTGCTAAATTTCGACTAAATATAAAAAAACTTTCTTGAGGTATCATCCAGATTATAAATATTTGACATATTATCATTCAAATTATTATGATTTTAATAAATTTTAGCTGACAATAACGTGCGGATTTCAGTTTTAAAATTGGTACTAGCGATTCTGAAGGGAAAATACCGCTTATGACGTCACTCAAATATGACTGAAAAGCACTCGCTTTGGTGCCATGCCAAGCATTGACTGGTATAGAGCATTATGATTACATTATTGACGTCGATCTCAGATTTTAAAATTCCATAACTTTGGATCTAATTAGAATATTTTGATGAAATAAACAAATTTGGGTATCATTTTATGTATATTTTCACAAAATATTTTTAATTTTTTTTTTTCTGTCATTTGAAACTTTGACCTGAAACCCCTATTATTATTATGACTCGGATATCAGATACTTGGCTATCTTTCTTCACAGTCGCGACACCCCACCCTCCTTTCACTGCAGGTTCCCTGTAGACCCCTTTCACTTAGATAACCATCTACACAATTGTTTCAAGAGCACTAAGGGGTTCGTGGATCCCAGGTTGGGAAACACTGCTATAAAATACTGTAATACAATCTGCTGGTGGCATGTTTCCATTTAATTCTTCTATGGTGGTCTGGTTCCTCTACATCTGCTGATGTCCATTTTTTCTATAATCTCTTTTTAATCAATTTTTCCAGTTTTCTGATTCTACTCGACTCGGGTTCGGGAGAGGATACATTCTGTGAGTGAGTTGTCTCCCCTGTCAACGCAGACATTGGTATTCGATTTCTATAAATCTCCATTAAAATACTCTGATCGTTTCTCCGTAAACCCTACAAAATATTAAATGTTTATTGTAATATTAATTGAAGAGCCCAGGGGAAGAATGATCTAAGTCACTGTTTCCATGAACCCCAGTTAATGTCATCTTCTGGTAGCCAATTGTATAAATTTTCTGTGGGATAATCCATTTCGGGTAAAAACAATAGAATCACGTCAAACCAGGGCCCTTCTGAAAATGGCCTCCTGGTCGAGAAGGATCTAAATCCACAGCGTCCCGGTCACGTCAAGCATTCTCGTCCATCATGCGAAAAGACAAAAATGTGACTTAGATCGTTCTTCCCCTGGGCTCTTCATTTGTTTAATGTAAAATAAAGACCATTTGTTTAATGCAAAATTTTAATTTTTTTCCAAAGAATTTCATGAACAAAAAAATTCTCACAGTAACATATTTTTTGCGATATTTGTCTGGCACAACGACCGATTTGTTTTTAACTTATAGATATTATCAATACATGTTGAAGTTATTAGAGTCCGACTGTCTGTTAGGTAGAATTAAAGGCATTATTTCCACTCCGCGTGACAAGGGTAAGATCAACTAGATAAATAAAAACTAAAATCAAGAAATAATTTATTTGGGAGTAGGAGTGCCATACAATTGTTTCATAAACCGCTTATAGCCATAATCATGTACAAATCAGTGTCCTACTGCTCTACTACTGCAGCCCCTATATATAAATCTATATCCACATACATTCTAATTGGGAGTCAAGTGCAACAATCTGATTAAAACACAGACCCTTTTTCGTTTGGTTTTTTATAGTTCAAAATTTTGTTTTACTTGTCTTTACTACACTAGGATCTGGAAGAGATGTTTTCATTGACTTGTTCTGGATGATGTGAGGGATTAGCCAATGATGGTCGGTTAAGGCGAGCTTATAGTGTGTGGTGCACAGAACTGTAGGTAATCCACTAGAAACATCAATGCTAATTGGCTAATCAAATGTCTGACGTCATAGGGTTAAAAGCCGCTGGTATGACCTCTGTTGCGACCTCTCAAAACAACTGGTCAGCTCAAAACAACTGGTCAGCTCAAAACAACTGGTCAGATCTTCATGTAGTGTAGGCCATCGAAAGTATAAAAAACGAAACGAAATATAGATCTGTATTTTTATTAGATTGATCGCTCAACGACTATCGCCCAACAACTATAATGGTGTCACAGAGATCATCCAGTGAAATTGTTTATAAGAATGGTTAGCTAGATATGTAGAATACCTACCTTCATTTCTAGAACTTTCTGGAATTCATTAACATCGGAATCATTCAACAATCTAATATAATTATCAACGTAACCCTGGGGGGGTTCATGGGGTGACATAACAACCTAGTTAAACACAAAATATACAATATCATATAATCATAGTTAATATACTGGTATATCATAAAATCAAGGAATAAAACAGCTCTTGATCTAATACAGTCTTGTCAAGTTTGTTGCTTGGGGAATATTAGGGACATTTCGCAACGGTACGAAAGTGAATACGAAAACGCCACCACTTTGTGTGTAATTGTCTCATATATTGAATTTTCCATCATTTTTCGAGGCCTTGTGTATATACTGGATTGTGTAGAGTTTGTAGAATGTGCTCAAATGCAATATTCTGCTTGATTTGTTGTATATCCATTGAAAAATTTTACCTGGATTGATAAGTTCATGAAGTGGCCACTTTAATTCATATGTCGGATTGTGAAAACGTGTGTTCGTTTTCGTACCGATGCGATAAGTCCCTTGAGAAGTTGTTGGTAGAATGAATAAACTTACCTTTAAAACCATCTCAGCTTTAGTCATTCCTTTAACTACTATCTTCGTATAACTACAAAATATTATCAAATACAAACAGTAATAAACTATATTCATATAGTCAAGATATTCACCTAATAAACAACTACTACAACTAGACGTACAGTTATTGTATCCCAAAGTGTGTGACAGACAGACATTGGCGGGCACGTAAAAGATCCCTTGGCAGTTTGAATTCTATACAAGAGAAGGCAATAGTGCCACTGACCGGGCAAAATTTCCCTCATAGCACACTGTATGGCGTATGCCCGTCTTCACTAGTCCAGTTCGGAGCAGAACAATAGAAGTTTAAACCTCATTTCATTAGAGACAGACAGACAAATCCATTTCAAAAGTCCCTATCTTTTGAATCACATACCATGAAAAGTTAAAGGGGCATTAGGTAAGATTAGATAAAGAGTTGACAGTTCATGCTATAATAGTTAAAAAAATATAGATAAAAACAGAATATGCTGAAAATAAATTTCAGTCAAATTATTTCATTCTTAGCCAAACTATCGGCAATAAATTTTTGTTTGGTCTTGATCATTATTACTACCATTGTTACGATAATAAACAGTCTTAATTATCCATTTTTATGGTTATTTCATCCACCACAAAACGTATTCAAATCTACTAAATATGGTCTAGATAAGTTAATAATTTAGATGATATTTCAGGCCTTAAGAAAGACCTGCATAATGTATATTTAAGATAATGTATATTTAAGATAATGTATATTTAAGATAATGTATATTTAAGATAATGTATATTTAAGATAATGTATATTTAAGATAATGTATGTTTAAGCCTACAATAAAGATATATGATAATAATTTCTAACTGACCTAGCTGGAGCTTTTCTAGCTACTTGAGATCCTAAAGACGGTAAATCCAATAATACTGTTTTTAAACTGTGTGTATCTAATAATAGCTGTAAATATATAAATATTATAAATACTAGTTGGAATATCATTCGTTATTATCTAATAATACTTGAAAATATAAAAAAAATCAAATTTGTGTATGTATGTTGGCCCATCAAACTTCATGGTTTGCACTCCACCCCTCATGTGTAGTATCAACTTATCCAGCATAACCCTGTGAATGTTTTAGGCCATCAAAATTGGGCCCCAGGCAAATCATGCTTCGTCGCCGAGCTCAATCCCAACATTTGGCATCAAATTAATCAGCATGTCCCCGCAAATTTTTTAGCCCATCGAATTTGGACCCCGGGCGAATATTGGTCCCCTGGTGAATTTGGGCCCCTGGTGAATTTGGGCCTCTGGTCAATTTGGGCCCTGTGCGTAGCCAGTTATCCTGGTAGTATTTATATAAATCATAATTCTTATCAGATGTACCATCTGTGGTGGGGTCATCATATAACTGTTAAAACAATATATCCATGACTTTGTTTTATAACCACTCCTCTTACTGGTGTATATTTTGACTTAGATCACATCAAAGTTATCAAATGGTTTTGATTTCCTCTCTCTTTTTTTTGTATATGGATTCACATGAAATGTTGGTGTTAAAATTTAACAATTATTTATTCTACAACTATTCTGTTTTAAACTACAACCGATTGTGAAACCATCATGTCCCCCAAAACTAGGCATGGACATGCTGAATTTTAACATGCTAAATTTTAACATGCTAACTTTTAACATATTAACATGTTGATTTTTAACATATTGACTTTTAACATATTGAAAATAAATATAATAGTATAACTAACCTGTTCAGCAGCTACTGTACTGTGTGTACGACATCTATATAATGTGTTGACAAATTTCGGTATAAAAGAACTGAAATACATAATATACTTTAAAGATATGGTCCATTAAGAGAGAGAGAGAGAGACAGAGAGAGAGAGAGAGAGAGACAGAGAGAGAGAGAGATAGGTTTAACATCCACTACACACAAACTAGGCCATTTCCAGACTAAAATATGATTCAATTTTATTTCAATAATTTGCTTTCACGTAGGGGTCTTTGGCAGTGGGAGGATACCGGAGGAAATGGAGAAAACCTACGAGGTTGGACGCTAACCATTCAGCCATTCAACCCCCCTAACTAATTAAAACCCTTTGTCTAAAATAAATAACAGAAACTATTGGAGGCAATACTTTTTCTAAAAAAATATTCAAGTCAATTATTTTCTCCCAATTATTTCTAAATATAATTTCCACGGCGACTTACTTGGCAAATTTAACGGAGAATTGTGTAAAGTATTTTCGTGATGAAGCTAGATTGTCTCGTATAATTGGTATATTTTGTTTTAAATGTGATGTGATAGCTGTGATATATCCACTCTGATCTCCAACAGCCTCGATAGTTGACCATGGCATCTAGAAAATATAATATAACACAATGACCATGTATAACATTTAATACATGACATCTAGAAAATATAATATACTAGGGTCATGGTCTTATAAGTCTGGGGCCTGTTTCACGAAATTTTAACTAAGGTAAAATCCAAATTTTAGTAATTTGATTGGATAATATTAGATTGATTTTAGTGCTTAGCCAATCAAAATTGAAGTATCTACTAAAATTTAGATTTTATCTTTAGTTAAGATTTCGAGAAACAGGGCCCAGGTGTATATCACACTCTAGGTTACTGATTTTATGGCCTACAGATAAATCCTTTTCAAAGCGAAAGGGCACTTCTTCTTCTAAATGGTTACCATTGATTATGATTAGTGAGGAAATTTTTACATTAATTTACAGAAATGGAGTTTAACTTCCACTTGACACAAACTAGGTCATTTTGGAACTAACATATGGTTCAATTTTATTTGGTTCTTTAGCTGTGGGAAGAAACCGGAGGACCCAGAGAAAACCCACAAGGTTGGACAGACGACCCCACTACTTGCCATGTACAACCGGGGAATCGAAACCACGCCAGTTGACTCAATGACAGACCTTATGATACAACGCGCACATGCTAACCATTCGGCCATCCAACCCCCTAATCAAGAAGAGATAGAATCAATGATCGGGTGAGCTGCAGCAGAATCGTGAAACTAATTCTTGGCTGAAATCTGTTTCATTTACCAATTACGTTTTAAAACAATTATGCTTCAATAACAAGTGAATATAGAATATTTACCTTTGTCATAGCTGATAAAGCTGGTTCACATGCTGTCTCTAGATCTTGTACTAATAGATGTATACAGTTAGATATTACACTGAAATTAAAAATACCATCATATCACTGTCATGTATATAACAATAATACCACGTTAAACATCCCCTGATGGATCAACAAAATTCCCTCTTAGCACACTGCATGCCTGATTAATAAAGTTAGGTTTCCCTTCAGGGTGTCTCAGGTATTGCTTTTATATGTAATATATTGTCTTGTTATATTCTATCATTGCTTGATAAAGATTAGAGAAGCCTAGCTAGTAGAATCTACTTCATTAGCTTGGCATGAACAAAATGATGGTACATTTTCAGATATGGTACAATATAAATTATTAACTGGGATAGGATTAACTGTGATAGGATTAATTGTGATAGGATTAACTGTGATAGGATTTACCGTGAAAGGATTAACAGTGATAAGATTAACTGTGATAGGATTTTCTGTGATAGGATTAACTGGGATAGGATTTAGATGTGGTCAAATCTTTACAATTTCAATCTGTATGCACGTGATAACTGTGATATGATCTTGACAGTATCAATTTGTATGTACGCAGGAATTTTTAACAGTGATACAATTAACTGTGAAAGGGTTAACTGGGATAGAATTTAAATATGGTAAAATCTTTATGATATAATTCTGTACATGTATGCACATGATAGGATTAACTGTGATAGGATTTACCGTGAAAGGATTAAATGTGATAGGATTTAGATATTATAAAATTTTTATGACATAATTATATACTTGTATGCATATAATAACTGTGATAGGATTAACCATCAAAGGATTAACTGTGATAGGATTTAGATATGGTAAAATCATAATGCAGATGATAACTGTGATAGGATTTAAACACAACTTACTTGTGGAATATATCCAGTTGATTACCAAGATCAATATTCTTAACCAAACTTTCATCAACTTTTTCTTTTAGTTTTTCTTCTAGTTGTTGAGTAGTTTCCATACAATATTCAGCTGTACAGAGTATACTACAAACACGACATTGTTCTTCTTCTGTAAGCTTAGTTACCTCCCCTTCCTTTAATATACTCTGTATTAATCCTGTAGCAGAACTAATACTAGTATTCTGATTACTTAATCTGAAACATAGTAAAGTTTACATAAGATATAGCATGGATTGTTTATTACTTAATCTGAAACATAGTATAGTTTACATAAGATATAGCATAGATCGTTTATTACTTAATCTAAAACATAGTATAGTTTACATAAGATATAGCATGGATTGTTTATTACTTAATCTGAAACATAGTATATTTTACATAAGATATAGCATGGATGGTTGATTACTTAATCTAAAACATAGTATAGTTTACATAAGATATAGCATGGATTGTTTATTACTTAATCTGAAACATAGTATAGTTTACATAAGATATAGCAAGGATCGTTTATTACTTAATCTGAAACATAGTATATTTTACATAAGATATATCGTGGATGGTTTACTTTGTATTTCAGAGTTAAACATACAAGAGCTAAATGTGCCTACTGAGAGAGAGATAGATGGGGTTTAACGTCCACACAACACAAACTAGGTCATTTCGGGACTAACATATGGTTTTTAATTTTATTTCCATAATTCGCTTACACGTAGGGGTCTTTAGCAGTGGGAGGAAACCGGAGGACCCGTAGAAAACCCACGAGGTTGGACAGGCGACCCTACTCTGTGTCACGTACAATGAGAGATTGTTGAATTAGTATGCTGTAGTCTATGAACTGGTATTTCGTATACTGTATGAACTTTACGAATTGGTATTTTGTGTTCTATAAAAGATTGCATAGATAATGATATCACACACAAACAGGGAGCCCCGATTCCTGTAACTAGATGTAAAGGTGCAGTCGTGCTCAGATGGTGGCAGGCAGGTGCTGACCGACTTGCATTGCTTCATTTGCCCAGAGGTTTACTCATAGCAGGACAATGCGATGATCCTGGGAACTAGTGGAACCTTATCAAAACTTGTTAGTACAGCGACAGGCAGTGTTACTCCTGGGAAGTAAGTAAAAAATATCGCAACTTACTTTGGCAAACTATTTAATAACACTCTGGTTGCGTATTCTTTAAGATATTTCTGGAATGTTCTCGTTAAATCAATCATTGGTTGTCCAGTACTCAGTTGAGAACATTGTACCATACATTTCTTATAAAATACGAACAAATCGGCACAACTCGGTAATACATTACTCCCTTCCTCCGTCTCCATTCTCGGTGTTCCGTGTTGACGTAAATCTTCCATAAAACGATTTATCAACTCCATTAAATTCCTGGAAAATATCAAAATATCAGAAAAACTTAAACCAATGACTTTAGTCTGCCAGGAAATGATTCTTTCAAGTAAAGTGGTTCAACAATCGAAATGAAAATGAAAATGAAAAGAAATAGGGTTTAACATCCTGCTGCTCCGAACTGGGCTAATGAAGATGGGCATACGCCATACAGTGTGCTATAAGAGAAATTTAGCCCGGACCGCAGCACTACGGCTTACTCTTATATCGAATTCCCACTGTCAAGGGATCTTTTACGTGCATGCCAATGTATACACGGGACCTCGGTTTTTCGTCCCATCCTCAGAACAGTAGGACGTTAAACTCCATTTCATTTAATTTCATTTCATTTCGTCCCATCCGAACGACCAGAAAACTGTCCTTGTCAGACCCTCCATCCTGCATCATTGACAAGGCGGAACTTTCTCAGCCAATGCAGGGATCCAACACTCAACCTCCAGACTAGCGAGCCAGCGTCTTACCCACTTAGACACTGTCTTACCCACTTAGACACCGTGACCCCCGGTTTGACAATCATCCGTTGTTAAGTACCGTTGCTACGATAATAAACTATCTACGCTACATCATCCAACACTCATAACATCGCCCAGTATAAAGTAATATCAGTGAAATTTTCAATATATATGTTTTGCATTATCTATTTTGAAACTATTATAACAAGAACGACCAGATCTTAATCTAAATCTTACATAATGTATCTTTAAGTATTACTAAATGCCATTGAAACAATGTATCTTTAAATATGTTTTATAGTTTATTATATTTTATACACACCTATCCTGGGAATCAATATAAATATTCAAATGAGCTTCAAAACAAGAGGAGATAATTCCAGTAAATGGTGTACTTCCTTCTTTCTTTGGCTACAAAACAAAATAAACATTATTCATTTAAAATATCACAGAATTGTATAATTATATATCCCATGCTGTTAGTGGAAGCAGTAGAACTATTTCATAACAAGTTAAAAATCTATGTTTTTATCTCAAAGACAACTCTACATGCCATCTCAGAATTTGTTGAGTTAACTAGCATACACTTTTTGAGACACAGAGAGATATATAAACTTGTCTACGATATCACCTTAGGTGGAAGTGGACGTAAAACACCAGAAACGAACGGACGAACGATATATAAACTAGGTCATTTCGGGACTAACATGTGGTTCAATCTTATTTCAATAAATCTCTTGCGCGTAGCGGTCTTTAGCCATGGCAGGCAACTGGAAGACCCAGAGAAAACCCAAAAGCTTACACTAGATCATTTCAGGACTAACATATAGTTCATTTTTATTTCAATATATCTTTTGCGCGTAGGGGTCTTTAGCCATGGCAGGTAACTGGAGGACCCAGAGAAAACAAACGTCTGAGAAGTAAGAACTTGGCGAAATCCGGACTGTTTCTTCTTGGTCCAACTTAGGATGCTAATCCCAAACACCAGGGTAAAACAAAGATCTGTTTGAATTAATCAACGTAATATTCTGTATTCCCTGGCTCACTAATTAAGAGGCTACGTGCTCAGTTCTCTAGTGTTGGATAAAACATATCCTGAGGGTTTTAATAAATTAAATGATGAACCTTGGATTCTTCTGTAGCTTGTTGTTCTGCTAAAGACCCCTGTGCTCAAGGAATTATTTAAATAAAATTGAATCATGTTAGTCTCGAAATGACCAAGTTTGTGGGTGGATATCTCTCTCTCTCTCTCTCTCTCTCTCTCTCCCTCTCTCTCTCTCTCCTCAGGATTGTAATATATTAAAAGATGAACCTTGGATTCTTCTGTAGCTTGTTCTGTCTGGTGATTGTCCTGTTCAAATGGATTAGTAGAAGGATGACTGGAAGACTCTTCAAAAGGATTGGTAGATACAGGAGGAGGTGTTGGGGTGGTGGATATTTTACGGGGTTTAACCTTTATATATTAATAAGGGTTGATAAATGGTTAGGCATAATGCGGAGGGACTATAGCAGTGGTTCCCAACATGGGGGGTACATCTCACAGGGGGCACTTTGAATATAAAAAGGGGCAATTTGAAAATCATTTTTTTTTAAAAACAAACATCTCTGAACCTATTAATGATACAAATTGAAAAACCTTATTTTAACCAAGTCCTGTTCTTTTTTTTTATAAAGTACCGTATTTATTTTTGATATTATACTTTTTCACTTCAAATTGATTGGGTTTGATGTTGAGACTGGGCTCTAGCCACTATAGAGCATGGATGTTGAGACAGGGCTCTAGCCACTATAGAGCATGGATGTTGAGACAGGGCTCTAGCCACTATAGAGCATGGACCCCCTCTATTCTTTATAGTATATTACGCTACAGACAAGATATGTAAGCTGATGTAAAAAATATTATAATGCAGTAAGCATTTGTCCTACTTCGTGCCTCAGATCTGTGGCCAAAGGACAAGGGAATGCAGCATGGATCGTTGCTCACAATGCAGAGGAAAAATTACAAGCAAAAATTCTATATATACTCTTCAAAAAAAAGTAGGGGGATATTGAAATGCAAATACCTATGCAGGTTGCGATATGATAAATAGTCATGGACTATTGACATGCTTTGAGAGTATGTTCACAGTTGAAGAACTTATCGCCCCAACAGAACCACTGAGCTGCACATGCGAATCGCAGTAGCACCATACACGTGGGAGGGGTTCATTGTCAAATTTGACACTTCAAGGAAGGGTTGATGAAAACTGCCGTGTGCTGGTTTGTCTATCCATGTTTGCTTTCCTATCGGTTCTTGCATAAGACTTACTGTTTAGCGTATCTTTGCTTTAGTGTGTTATGTTCAATTTGATTGGGAGACGTGTTCGTCAACGTCAACGTCAACGGACAACACTGCAAGAATTGGCCGTGGCACTGCAAGATGAGTGGGTCAGATTGCCCCAAATCGTGATTGGACGGTTGATTAGGAGCATGTCACAACGCATTGCTGAATGTCTGAGGATTGGTGGAGCAATTACTCATTATTAAGATAAAAATCAAAAATGTCCATTTTCACTTTTGACGGTGTATCTCTTTGCGGGTGAAATGGGGCCGTCAGATAAGCCGCCCATATGACCTGTTTATGTTCATGTGTAGGCTATTGGCCTTTTATTAACATACACTGGTTACCTCTAATAAAAACAGCAGTGCATTTCTGAACATCCCCTACTTTTTTTGAAGAGTATTAGAATGTGAACATGCCCACATAATTATCATAAATTGTCTTGAGGTCTACATTTAAAGGGAAATTAACGTTTAATCCTGTTTTGTTTAATTGTATAAAAACACATCAAACCATTCTTAATGAAAAGCAATGTTTAAATTTATAATATTAGGCCACCTAAAGGAGACAGTGCTTGAAACAAAAGGCGAGCTCTTGTCCGAAATAAAATTTGGGAGATCTATATTTATTCAGCGTCTTATCCTTAACAATTAGTTCTCATTATACAAGGTTTTAATCAGCGAACACGGTTCAAATTGACCAAATTGTCAGAGGAATACGCTTATAGATAGTCAGAAAATGAAATGACACAAATTTTAACAATATAATTTTGTGGCATAATTTTTTGTTTATAACATAAGTGATTATAATTTATAGTTACATTCCGATATTTTTTTAAAAATTGAACCCATCTAAGACACGTGGGATATGAACATCTATTTTAAAACTGTAAACTGTAGATGAGTGTCCACAAGCAAATACATCTACACGAAAATGTGTACAAAGTCAAAAATATAAATAAAAATAAAAAAACAAAAACATTTAAAATGTGTCGGTAAAACTGTTTATAACTTACGTGATTATCGCTCATCGTGACACCAGTAAATCTTTTGGCTATCAAAGTCTCAAAGTTGGTCGTTCTTTGTATCGCAAACAACAACAGTTTTACATCAATTTCTACAGTTCTTTTAGACATGATCTGTAGTAGAGCTTTCCGAGAGATTTGACAGAATTCTACACATATTCTCTCACTGACTTCCCATGACGGTGGAAATAAATGACCAAACTTTTCCTCAAAATCCACCAGAGTTCTTTTGATCCATGCATAACGACGATCTACTTTGTCCAGCCTAAAAATAACAATAGAAAACTGTTATAATATCCTGATTGAAACATATAATTTGATTAGTAATGAAAAGATAGGTTGCCAGGCACTGAATCATATGTCACGTACAACCGGGGAATTGCAACCACGCCACTTGACTCAATGACAGACTTTATGACGCAATGCACACGCATTAAACCATTCGGTCACCCAACCCGGTAATATAGATTGGAATATTAATCTTGTTGGAATTTGACCCCTAATGTTCTATTCTGATTAAAATATAGATATATATTTCGTTTCGTTTTTTTATACTTTAGATGGTCTACACTACATGAAGATCTGACAAGTTGTAGCGATAGGTCACGTCAGGGGTCAAAAGACCGACTTTTGATCTATGACGTCAGACATTTGATTAACCAATCAGCATTGATGTTACTAGTGGATTACCCACAGTTCCGGGCAAAAAAGGTCAAACACTCGATTCGACAGACCATTTGATTGGCTTACTCCTCATTTCAAACAGTTCAGGGCTGCCGACAACCAGTATCGCAGCGCAATTTTCGATACATATTTTGTCCGTTGCTAATCAAAAATTAAAATCTAACATTTTTGATTCGCAGTAACTGCGAATCATTAATATGCCTGTCATTTTGGATATTGACACAAGGATAATCCACTTTCAACGTGTATAAAATGCCGAATAAAATTTTATAAACAAAACTGAATTCTCCGTGTGACATTTTCTTCTCGAACTACCCAGACACAATTCATTATACTACATGTATATAATAAAGGGACATAACTCTATGAATAGTGACTATTAAACCGGAAATAGGGAATCAAGTAGTACCACTCACGTTGCAGGACATGTCAATTTCAAGTAATTATATCAATATACATTTTGAAAGAAATAAATATGTTAATGTATTGTAAAATGATAAATCAAAGTAAGAATTCCCGTAAAATATTGTTCATATCGCGTGTGTCTAGTTAATAATAATAAAGGTGCGCGCGATTGAACCAAAATAGTAATACACGATAAAAAGCAGACGAAATTGTTTTCTAAAGAAGATTTCTAACGTAACAAAAAAATAACAATTAAAATGAGTAGGGCTTCGGAAGTCACTGCCAAGATTTGGCTTCAGACATTCACATTCACAAACTGTCACAACTACATGTGGCAGTGCTAAAAAAAAATCTATGAATGAAATCTAATCATCATATTTGTTATGAATTAAAGTAATTTCTTGTTATTTAGGTGTTTTATGTTGAAACTGAAAAACTGCTAATCAATTTTTAAATTTGCTAATCAAATTTGGCGAAATTGGACTTTTTGATTAGCAGTGCTGCTAATCAAATGTGAAAAATTACCGACAGCCCTGCACGAGTTAAATAACAAGTCTTCCAGATCCAAGTGTAGTAAAGACAAATAAAAGGAAATTTTGAAATATAAAAATGAAACGAAATAGGATCTGTGTTTTAACCAGATTGCTAATGTTCAAAACGAATTAAAATGATTTTTCGCGACCGATACTGAGATTCAAACCTGTGAACAGTGCTTCGACGTCCGATTTATACTCCGCTAAGCAAAGCAAGATAATTTTCTTGGCATACTTTCGCGCACAGCTTTGGTGCGAAGTTTCATCATCAATTTTCAGACAAAGCAAAGGAGTTGAACTTAGTTGCCCTAACGTGATCCATCTAACAACAAGACAGGAACAACTTCGCTTAGCTTTGCTCACTACAATCGGCAGCTTTTGTTTGTTATTGGCATTCACAGGTAAAGTTTTGCTTCACAGCCTTGCTTAGTGGAGTATAAATTGGCCTTTACTCCTTGACTACTGAGGAAACATTGTTGGATTATTCAATCAGGCACCAGCCCAAACAACTCAGAATCAGGCTTGATGAAGCCTAAAACGTATGAGATATACGTACCATGCCACATCCTGGTCATCAGCGAAAAGAACCAGATATTCTGACAGTTGCAACTTAACGAACCATGTTAATAAATCACGTTTGACCTTGGGATCAAGGACATCCACCACATAACATGCTTCACGTAGTTGCTGTTGATTTCCTGGACCATATTTAGCTCCTGCTCCTTGAAACGCTTCTTCAAAATCGGCTAAAATCTGGATACCAAGTTCATGCTGTATCTCTCTCACCCTATAAAATAAAATCAAATGGGGGTTTAACATCCTACTGTTCTGCTCCAACTAGGCTAATAAAGATGGGCTTACGCCATTTATTGCGATTTGGGGCAAATTTTGCCCGGGAAGTGGCACTATAGCCTACTCTTATATCAAATTCGAAAATGCCAGGGGATTTTTTGCTTGCACGCCAATTTTTACACAGGACCTCAGGTTTTTGTCCCATCTGAACGACTAGACAGCTGTCCTTGTCAGGCCCTCCATCATCCTGCACCACTGACAAGGGGGAAACTACGGCGGAAAAACCTGTTGAACTTTCACGTCCAACACAAGGATCGAACCTGTGACCTCCAGGCTAAAAATAACACCATTAAAAACTTAATATACTACGTTTTTAGTCTTGTTTCAATTTGTCTATCGTGAATGAATGGAGAACAGAGGGTCTAACAAGGAAAATTGTCTAGTTGTTTGGATAGGACAGGAAACTGAGATCCACCCATGTAAATGGTGACAGGAACGTAGATGAACCATTGACAGCTGGAATTCTAAGAACTGTAGACCGAAAAGTTGCAATCCAGGCAAAATTCCCCTCATAGAACACTATAGTGTATGCACGACTTCAATTCCCTTCATAGCACACTGTATGGTGTATGCACTACTTCAATTACCGTCATAGCACACTGAATGATGTATGCACGACTTCAATCCCCCTCACAGCACACTGTGGTGTATGCACTACTTTAATTCCCCTAATAGAACATTGTGTAGTGTATGCACTACTTCAACAGTGAAATTAAATGAAATGGGGTTTAACATCCTACTGTTCTGCTCCGACTGGGCTAATAACAATCTGGTTAAAACACAGATCCTATTTCGTTTCGTTTTTATAGTTCAAAATTTTGTTTTACTTGTCTTTACTACACTTGGATCTGGAAGAGTTGTTATTTAACTCGTGTTCTGAATGGTGTCAGGGATAAGCCAATGAAACAGTCTGATACGGCGAGCTTTAGGCGTGTTTTTCACGGAACTGTGGGTAATCCACTAGTAACATCAATGCTGATTGGTTAATCAAATGTCTGACGTCAAAAGGGTCATAAGTCGGTCTTTTGACCCCTGACGTAACCTATCGCTATAACTTGACAGATCTTCATGTAGTGCAGGCCATCGAAAGTATAAAAAAATGAAACGAAATATAGATGTGTATTTTAATCAGATTAGGCTAATAAAGACAGTACTTAATAGCAGCCTTTTATTGACTGAAGGCTAAAATGTGTTCCCAGTATTAACACTCAACCAATGAAAAAGTCACATGAATATATCACATGCATCGAGCTGCATTATCAAAATTGAGGAATAACCCATCAGCTAGCAGTTTAATGTGTGCTGCTGCAGTGGCAAAAATAACCAGAAAGAAAATGAAGACTAAAACTATCACCTTGTTGTTAAAGGTGTGCTGCAGTGGCAAAAATAACCAAAGGACTAACCTATCAGCTAGTTGTTTAATCTGCGGTATTGACATGTATTTCTCAAAATGTTCGAGTACATTGAGAACACCTTGTAACAGATTAGCCACCTCCCCATATTGACGTCTACGTGTCAGGTTCTGTAACGAGTCGACTCCACCCACTAACATGTGTAGATGGTTTAACGTGGTTATGGAGGACGTCAAATGTCGTTTAGCGTGATCCAGCTGCTTTATATCTCGAGTTATTTCTTTTACCTAAAAACACAAGAATTATAAAATAAAATCAAGATATAGCAAATGTACAACATTTGGCCATTGGCCATCAACTTTTTAAACTAGTTAGCAAATATTTGCACCAATTAATATAACATATCTATTGGAATAGGAATCTTTTTAATTCCAGTCGATTTCATATTACATGCTAGCAGATTGGGGTTTCAGTTATAATCATATTAAACATACATTATGTAAGAGGTAAATCTGTCTATTTCAGGTCTTTCTTTAGGTCTGAAATCTTATCTAAATTATTAATTAGACATTAATTAACCTATCCAGATCATAATCAACTCTCGATGGTATCCCTAGCCTGCGATCTTTAGTGGATTATGAGCCGATTTACTGCATAACTTTCCTTCACGATTTAACGATTAAATGGATAATCGAGACTATGCTTTTTATCGTACTGACTTTAGTAATGATGATCGAGGATAGGCGGAAATTTCAATCACTTAATTCCCGGTTCATAGTGGATCAATTTGAATGAAATTTTCAGCAAATTGCCTTTACATTATTTAGTTTTTAACTATTATAATGAGAACTGCCAACTCGTTATCAAATCTCCCATAATGTATCTTTAAATAATCCATTAAAGGATTATTAAGTTGTTTAAATTACAACTAAAAAAAGTACAAGATTTGCATTTTAAATATCTCATCAGCACATATAAAACAATAAGACAAATCAAAGACAACACAAACAGCAACAAATCAAAGACAACACAAAACAGCAACAATTAAAGACAACACAAAACAGCAACAAATTAAAGACAACACAAAACAGTATTAATGTGTTTTTTCAAACGCCACAATATTAAATAATATTACCATAGCCTCTGATTTTTCTGCTTTGTCTTTAATATCTTTTATTTTTGTGAAAAGATCCTGGATAGCTTTTTGTGCTTCCTCCAATGCCTGTCGTCCTTCTTCTCCAACATTTGTCTGACCTCTGACCACAGTACGAACCTCATTATCTAATCTCCTATCAAAATATAAACACAACATTCAAACTTTACCCAGATGGTGGAGTCGACTGATGGTGGAGTCGACTGACTTTCTATTAGTATTACACGCAAACAAAACCATTAAGGCATTAAGGCAAACCCTTGACAGGTGGAATTTGATATAAGAAAAGACTGTAGCACTGCTGTCCGGATAAATATTCATTGTATGGTGTAAACCCGTCTTCATTAGCCCAGTCGGAGCAAAAAAGTAGGATGTTCAACTCATTTCATTTGTCAAATTGGTGGAAAGTCAAGAGAGAGAGAGAGAGAGAGAGAGAGAGAGAGAGAGAGTGAGAGATGGGGTTTAATGTCCACTCGACACAAACTAGGTAATTTTGGGACTAACACATGGTTCAATTTTATTTCAATAATTTGCTTGCGCGTAGGGGTCACGTACAACCAGAGAATCGAAACCGCTCCAGCTGACTCAATGACAGACCCTATTATACAGCACGCACGTGTTAACCATTCGGCCATCCACCACCCTGGTGGAAAGTCAAAGATTCTAAGTTTGCTATGTGATAAATAGTTATAACATTATTAAATAGTAATAATGCACTGCAGACTGAAGTGGGACCGTCACCACTGTACATCAAATCATTTTCTAGAAGGGAGCCACAGTGGCTCAGAGAGTCAGACACTGGCTCGCTAATCAGGTCCTATGTTCCTTTCTAGTGCTGGCCGAAGGGAGTGCCTCAGTAGTGCAAGATACAGGGCCCGGCAAGGACAGTGTCTAGTCGTTTCGATGGGTTGAAATTATTTCTTAGTAAAATTCTCCAGTTTACTCCATACCATAATTTTATTTACCTGATTTTAAATCTGATTTTATTAACGACCTCATCAATATTAGCTAGAGATTGTTCTGTAGGGAAGAGGGTGTTGATGTATTCTACAGGATTGAAATCAGCACGATCTAATGGATCACTGGTTGGTAAAACCTACAAAAACAAGCAGAAATAATATGTTAAAAAAGCATGTTATTTAGGTTTTTTATTAAAGCGCTTTATTTTGCTTCTATATGTAGGCCTACCACCGAAATTGCACTGTATGATAGTTTTTAATTAGGATAGTATTTATCTAAGGCAGCTTTCATCAATGACATGGATAATTAAATATCTGGATGCTCAGTCGAGTTCAATCGTTTTTCTGGATCGTCATGGAAGAAGACATTACAATCTAATTTTGTCTATCCTTTTACTTGGTTGCATTGTCACTGGGCAGACTGGTAACACTGCCACTGCAGACCACAGTCCATGGCAGGATTAGAGCTGTGCATCTGAATTGGCTGTGTATAGGGTTCTCCCATTCCCATTATGTTGGGGGCCATCGATTACAATACATTCTCCCTCAAATAGAGCTGGGTGATATTTCTGTTTTTCAATAAACAAAAATGTCACAGAAATAAAAACTGTCTGAATCCAACATTCTAGCTTCAGAAAAGTTTTGAAAAACCAAAACATACCCAGATATATGGCAGTTTTGATTTTTCAGGATGAAATTTAGCATAAATATTGACAACTATTGACAAAATGTCTTCCTTTTTATGTTATTTACCATATTGTATGTTATTGTTTAATGATGAATAAATAGCAACGAATTATTCATTGAATATGTTATAAATTCCTGTGTGGTCATTCCACAAACTTAGATCTTTGTTCACATTACGGTACGTGACCTGTCGCCCATTTTAGCACTCAACTGGTACTGTTAGAATCATCTGTACTCTAGTTCGGTTTGGTATGATGCTTTGACTTTTAAAAGGAATCAATTATTTTCTTATTTGAATCAATTTTAACATGGAATGTCAAATGTAACATGTCCAACTTTTTTATGCATGTTTATTTAGTTACGGTTACATGTTAAAGGGTGATAAACTAAAATAATAGACATTTTATCAAATATTGATATACTCATAACATTATGATATTTTTTTTCAGGGATTTTGCCCAGTTCTACCGTCTGAACTGAAGTCAAATGACATAAGATTGAGACATTGTGATTGTGACTGACAGTGACAGTCAGTGACAGAAATGAAATGAAATGAAATGAAATGGGGTTTAACGTCCTACTGTTCTGCTCCTAACCTGGGCTAATGAAGACGGGCATACGCCATACAGTGTGCTATGAGGGAAATTTTGCCCGGACAGCGGCACTACGGCCTACTCTTATATCGAATTCCAACTGCCAAGGGATCTTTTACGTGCACGCCAATGTGTACACGGGACCTCGGTTTTTCGTCCCATCCGAACGACTAGACAGCTTTCCTTGTCAGCCCCTCCGTCCTGCATCACTGACAAGGGAAGTCAGTGACAGACGATTTGATAGCCGACAAAACGTTAGCCTATACATCTGTCAAAATAACGAAATTATAGCCAGTAATGGCAGTCTTGCTACAGAGGAAATATATTCTATATCTCGCAACCTGATCGATAGCATCCTGGACTTCGGGAGAAAACGTCAAAAGCTCCAGAAACTGTTCTTCATCAATGAAATCTTCGTCGTCTATAGACGCCATGTTGAAAACAGACGAATTCGGCGGATGAATATTTATAAATGGTAACCATATCCGGTTTAAAATATTGGAGAAGATGTAATTGAATTTATCATATGTACAGCGTCTTATTCTTCCTCAATGATTAGCATGATTTTTTATTGTGTAATTATTCTAAATTTAGCCAACAGTAGGTTTTTTTTAAGATGGACTATATATATAGCGGAACTGTATCCTGTAAATGTTGTTAGGCCAACATGTGCTCGATGTTTATGTTTTGAGAAGATCAACACGTGTATTAAAGAATTTCTATGATTGAAGACTGATTGATTGATTGATTTCAAGAACAGTTATTGTTTGAGATATTGACAGTTAATTGAGAGATAAAGATGGGACGTTTGAAGAGGGGGTATAACTGGAAAGGTAGACAAAAAGTCGATGTTGATGTTGACAGATCAGCAGAGAAAAAGGTTTAAATTTATTTATTTCTTGTTCGAAATAGTTTTTACAAAAACAAACAAAAAACCATGAGAGATTATTCGAGTATAATCAAATAAGAATGATATTATACCGGTACACTAAATGATTTAGGCCTAACTTTAATTCTAGTATGAGGGAACTGTTGTGAGTCTCTCTTGGACTTGGATCTTATTTTTGGTTCTTTTACAGATAAAATTAGATGTTGATGCTATTGGTGTAGGAGAAACAGGTTTTGATGATAATAATCTATTGGCGTTACCTTCCAAGAAACGGAAGACAAATAAGAAGGAAGATAAACCAAAGAAAACGAAACAGTTGACACGAAAAGAAAGAAGACAATTGGAAAAAGTTATTGAAAAAAAGGAAAAGAAAACCAATGTAAGTCACTAAACTTGCCAAGATTTTGACATTTGTCAGGATGGGAGTGGGTGGTCGCGTATTCTAACTCATCCACATTAAATTACGAGGTCTGTCATTTGGTCAAGAGATGTGGTTTCTATCCCAAGCTGCTTGTAATATATCTGCAAATGTTAGGTTGCACAGAACACAATTCTATGGAATACATTACTGGGTGAAACGTCGCTCAATCATAAACAGCAATTGTATTCTATAGAATCATGTAGGCCTACTTGAGATTAGGCTTTTATTTTCTTTTACATGTACCTAGCTGATTTTTGCACTAAATATAATGTTTTTCAATGTTCTCTTATGCGCATGTATGTAAGAACTGGATAAAATGTAAGACCACCGGCACCTAACTTCTTCTTACATACTTGTAAGTCTGAGAAGGAACCCATGAGTTTGCATGGACTGCCTGCCTTATGATGTACAGCAGCACGTTAGCCTCCTACTGCCCCTATTTTTTTCTCAAATAATGTGAAATGGGCTAATGAACACAGGCATACGCCATACAGTTTGCTATGAGGGAAATTTTGCCCAGGCATTATGACCTACTCTTTTACTGAATTCCAACTGCACACCAATTTATACAAGGGTCCTCAGTTTTTCGTCCCATCCGAACAACTAGACAGCTGTCCTTGTCAGGACCTCCGGTGTGCACCACTTAAAAGAGGAACCACGCTGGAAAATCCAGATGAAAATTATCGGTCAATGCAGGGATTGAACATGTGACCTCCAGGCTAGCGAGCCCTCAATTAATGTCTCATTATAGTAAAATATTTTTTTGTTTATTTTTTTCCAGAGAAAGTCCATATTAGAATCACTGAGTTCTGTCCAGGCATCACAGGAAGAACTTCAGTTATTGACCAGTATATCAGAAGTTTACAGTCAAAGATTTAAATCGTAAATAAATTTGTTTTTCAGTAATTTTACTTTAGCTTATTGAATAATTCTTCAATACTTTATTTTGAGTTAAGCCATGCTTGAATATTTGAATTACCCCAAGGGTGCCAGTGTGGCATCATCCGGAATCAGAATCTTCACATATTGAAGAAATATACATATACTCCATTAAAAACATTAGGTGGACTATATTTCCAAAGAAGTTTTTCCCGGAGAGAGAGGGAGAGAGAAGAGAGAGGAAACCGGACCAATAGAAAAACCACGAATTTGGACAGGAAACCCTATTCACATACAAACAAAGATTCGTAACCACTTGACTCAATGACAGACCTTATAATCTAAAGTTCACGCATTAAACCATTCGGCCAACCATCATTACCCGTCATTAATTAATAAGGACATTTCACTGAATTATTCCAGGGTTTTTATCTTTCTATGCTTGTTTTCCATTTATATTCTTCTATTGTAGTGATGTTCAGGTTGAAACATCTGTCGACGGTGAAGTAAAGTTAAAGACAATAAAAGGTATCAATAAAAAAAATAAACAAAAAGTTCCTGAACCCGAGTCTGACAGTTCAATAGATACATCAGACATGTCATCAGATGAGGAGGAGGAGGAGGAAGATCTTAAAGAATTAACCAATCAAATTGAAGAACAGATAACAGAGAGTGAAAAAAACAGAGATGAACCAATGAAAGAGGAAAAGACATCTGTAAAGGTGAAAGATGAGAAAGTAAAAGTAGATGATAAACCGAAAGTAGAAGAAAAACCTAATAGAACTGTTATCAATGTTCCTGTGATGAGAACAGCTGAAGTTGAGGTTTGTGTTGTTAAAGTCTCTAACTCAATATTTTCCATAATATTCGAAATTAAAAACACAAATTAGAATTCAATATTGATCAAGTTCAATCAATATTGATGTTGTTATCTTGACGTGAAAATATGAGATCCTAATATCCAGTATTTCAGACACAATTAACTTTATAATCAGTAAACGCGTCGTGTACCCTATGGTTTCGGGTGCCATCTTGTAATGAACAAATAAAAACATATCCTACAACACAATGTGGAAGTTATTAGTAAAGGCTGATTCACAAATGACAAAATAATAATTTAATAAATGTGTAGAATGCACTAGTAGGCGTGCCGTCCAGTTTGCACTGTTCACGTATTTCACCGAACATAATTGATTAGAAATTACAATATTTTTTTCAACAATTGAATATAAATCACTTTAAATACATTCATATTACATTAGTATGTGCTTTTAGAGTCATTTTGTCTATCTCAAGATTCCAAAAAATAGTGTCATATGCCCTTTAATATCACTCAATAGGAAATATCTTGGCTCAAATCATTTTATATTACTCTCAGGATGACCGTATTAACCCTTTATCCCTTGGTACATTTAAATAATATTGAGTACCCCAGTTCCTTAAAAACAATCAGAGTAAAGTGATATATTAAAGGACAATATTGGTACCTTATTATTACCACGTATGTGATATAACTGGTTAAACACATTCCAAATATAATTTTAACACAGAGATCATTTCTACAATAGATGCTCAATGCAAGTTACAAAAATCAGAAGTGACAAACGCAAAAGGAAAACACAAGTTTTCCCGCTATATAACTGACTGAAGTGACGAGTGATAACAGATACATGGGCGAATTTCTGCTCACTTCCGATTTTTAATCCTTCATTACGCATCTGTCGTAGCAATGATCTCTGTGAAAATTATATTTGGAACGTGTTTAACCAGTTCTATCACATATGTGATAATGACTGGCACCAATATTGTCCTTTAATATTAGTAGGCCTACATTCGTAGACAGACTTCAAGTGAGCAGTCAGAAAGTACGGTTTCCTGGAACCACCTCAAAACACGGACCATAGATATTATAGCACATTTACTAGTTTTTACAGACGCCACAGTTGTACACATGACAGGGCGGTCCGAGGAACCCTAATTTTGGCAGTTAAACAATTTCTAGAACAATTTAATAATAGTTGATCAACTTAATTATAGTTTATGGAACAATTTCTAGTTCTTATAGGCACTCAGTTGTTCACTTGACAGGGCGGACTGAGGAACCCTAATTTGGGCAGTTAAAGTGTTAACTAGAGGTTGATCATATTTTGTCTGACTTATATTCCTGATTGTTTTCAAATTTGAGTGAAGTCTGTGTCACTACAGGCCAGAGACTGTACAGCGCAGTGGACGTTTACGGCTAGCCCCCGGATCCATCCACTTTATTTGAATTGTTCGTTTGTCTGTGATTTCTGCGTATTGTGTCTTGTCCATATATTTGTTTTTGTGTAAATTATGTGTGGTGCAGTCCCCCTTCACTTTCTATTAATAGTAGTTTATGTAATGATTTTTTATTTGATATTTACAGGCAAATAGAGAGAAGTTACCAATATTTACTGAAGAACAGGTTGTTATGGAAACTATTAATGATAATCCAGTAACGATTATTTGTGGAGAAACGGGGTCGGGTAAAACAACTCAAGTTCCACAGTTTTTATATGAAGCAGGATATGCCCAGTAAGTATTTGTTCTTCTCAGTAAGGGTTGTTCCCATTCTCAGTAAGTATTTGTTCTCGTCCTCAATAAGTATTTGTTCTTGTTCTCAGTAAGTATTTGTTCTCGTCCTCAGTAAGTATTTGTTCTCGTCCTCAGTAAGTATTTGTTCTCGTCCTCAGTAAGTATTTGTTCTCGTCCTCAGTAAGTATTTGTTCTCGTTCTCAGTTCTCAGTAAGTATTTGTTCTCGTTCTCAGTAAGTATTTGTTCTTGTCCTCAGTAAGTATTTGTTCTCGTCCTCAGTAAGTATTTGTTCTCGTCCTCAGTAAGTATTTGTTCTCGTCCTCAGTAAGTATTTGTTCTTGTTCTCAGTAAGTATTTGTTCTCGTTCTCAGTAAGTATTTGTTCTCGTTCTCAATAATTATTTGTTCTTGTCCTCAGTTAGTATTTGTTCTCGTCCTCAGTAAGTATTTGTTCTCGTTCTCAGTAAGTATTTGTTCTCGTCCTCAGTAAGTGCTGGTTATGCTTCTTATACGATCAAGAATAAAGAAATGAACAATATTTGATTCCTTTCACATAGGGGGAATTGGATGGCCGAATGGTTAGCATGTGCACGCTGTATCATAAGGTCTGTCATTTAGTCAACTGGCATGGTTTCGATTCCCTGGTTGTATGTGACAAGGAGTAGTGTCGTCTGTCCAACCTCGTGGGTTGTCTCCGGGTTCTCCGGTTTCCTCTCACTGCTAAAGACCCCTAGGCGCAAGCGAATTATTGAAATAAAATTGAACCATGTGTTAGTCCCGAAATGACCTAGTTTGTGTCGAGTGGATATTAAACCCCATTTCTCTCGCTCTCCCTTTCACATATATATATAGGCCAAACCCAATTGTAATATCAACCGAAATAAGTTTACACATTCCTATATAACTTGACTATAAATAGGGTTCAGTTTTACTTTTAGTTTATATTCCCGTTGACTACGACATAACAAATAAGGGTCAATTTTACTGTTAGACTATATTCCCATTCTCACGGTGCCCTTAATTAAACAAGGACCTGACAGTTTTACTGTTCAACTATATTCCCCACTCCCACGATTCCCTTCAGTAGTAGGGATCAGGTTTTTCACTGTTAAACTAAACTCAGTAAACTGTGGCATGGCTGTATATCTGTCTCTATGTAATAAACAGTAATAACAGTGGAAATATTTTTTAGTAATAAACAATTTTATTTCATAGAATTGTGTATGTTGTATCTAGGTGTGTGTGTGTGTGGGGGGGGGATTGATGTATTAGATTGAAAGCTATAGAAGTTTCTTGTTTTACAGTGGTGATGGTATTATTGGTATCACAGAACCTAGACGTGTTGCTGCTATCAGTATGTCACAACGTGTTGCCATGGAAATGAATTTATCTCCTGAGTAAGTTGTAAAATAATAACTCTAATTATCTAGTGTGTGATTTACAGCTCGATCAGTGATTCTGTCCGTCCGACAAATTGTCTTAGACTTCTTAAATCAGGAGGCTCTTCGAATTATTTAAACAAATTTGCTTTAGTCTGACGATGAATTGTTGTTTGGTGTCTAGGGTATTGCGCATGAGTCAGCATACACTGTAACCAGGGTATCATTTAATATTGCACATCTAGCCCTGATTTATTTTACATTCATTCAATAAAATATCTTTGATTTAAAAATCATTTTAAATCACCCCAAATCATCTAATTTGTACTTGTGTCCAGTTTTGATAATGAGCGTCCAATTTACAAGTGTTTGATTTCCTGTTCACTGTTAAAAAATAAACAACCCATTTGATTATTGATGTATAATGATTAATTTTTGAATAGTGGTCAGCTTTGATTGGGTTTTTTTTGTAGTGAAATATCGTATCAAATTCGTTATGAAGGAAATACCTCGTCTAAAACTAAGATCAAGTTCATGACAGATGGTGTTTTATTAAAGGAAGTCCAACAGGTTTGTCTACTCAAATATTTCAGTAAAAATTAAATTGTTGTTTTACCTACATGACACTGATGGGAGCAGCCATGCTGAGCCACTTCCAAAGAAGTAACCCTAATTTATAGCTCATTCTATTTTCCGGCATGGTTCCCCCTTGTCAGTGGTGCTGTGTGGAGGGTCTGGCAAGGATAGTGTGTAGTAGTTCAGAAGGAAGGAAAAATCAAGGTCCATTGTACACATTGGCATGCACGTAAAAGACCTTTTGTAGTTGGGATTCAATGTAAGAGTGCCGTAACACCTCTGTCCGGGCAAAAAGTTCCTCATAGCATACTGTTCAGCGTATGCACGTCATTAGTCGTGGCGGAGCAGAACAGTAGGATGTTAAACTTTCTTTTATACCACGTTCTGAGGTTCTGGTTTTGCATTTTGCATGGTACAATGAGATGTATACAGAATGCCTGAAATAAAACACAATGTGATGCCCAGTTTCAATAAAATAGACACAAAATTTACAACTTCATATGTACATATTATTTTAAGTATGTTATATTTGTAGCACGGCTTTCTTAGTTTACAGGTTTAAACAGAGGCCACAGGCCATGGTGTTAAACCTGTTAACGAATGAAGTGTGCTATAAATGACTTGTAACATTGACAACTGCTCAACATGCTTGTTGTTATTGCACAGAAAACCCACCCACTTCTCTATATGATTTCTACTAAAACTAGTGTAAACCAGCAAAAGTGTGCAATAAAACTGAACATGTCTAGTTATTGCACGGTTAAGCTCCAGCCAGTCCAGGAGAAATGAAATGAAATGGGGTTTAATATCCTACTGTTCTGCTCCTAAACTGGGCTAATGAAGAAGGGCATACGCCATACAGTGTGCTGTGTGCTATGAGGGAAATTTGGCCCGGGCAGCAACGCTATGGCCTACTCTTATATCAAATTCCAACTGCCAATGGATCTTTTACGTGCACGCCAATATGTACATTTGATCTCGGTTTTTCGTACCATCCGAACGACTAGACAGCTGTCCTTGTCAGGCCCTCCGTCCTGCATCACTGACAAGGGGAAACCATGCCGGAAAATCTGGTTGAACTTTCTTGGCCAATGCAGGGATCGAACACCCGACCTCCAGGCTAGCGAGCCAGCGTCTTACCCACTTAGCCACGTGACCCTCCCCAGTCTAGGAGATGAAAAACAATATGCTTATTCAACGAAAAGAACAAAGGAAGATTTCCAGTCATGTTCCTTGTATTTTTTTGTTTTTCAGGACTTTATGTTGAGTAAATACAGTGTTATTATTATTGATGAAGCTCATGAACGAAGTGTTTATACGGATATTCTCATTGGTTTATTATCTCGTATTGTACCACTCAGAAACAAGGTAACATTACGTGGTCTTTATTCACAAGCATGGAAATAACACACCGGTCTCAAACATTGTCAGGCACAAATTCAGACAAACTCTCTGATTTGGTGCCCATCATTTTGTCAGCACTATGAATTTTAGAGTAATGTAAGGGACAGCAGTATTATATGGTCTTTTCTTTAATGTATAAAGAGCGTCACTATTACAAGGGTTCAGCCTATGACCCCCAAAATATGCATTACAATGAAGCCCTTGTCTTTCATTTAAGGATTTGCTATTACAAAGGTTCACCTGTCAAAACTCAACCCTTGTCTGCCATTACAAATGTTCATCTCTGAAAACTTGACCCTTGTCTCTAAAATAAGGGATTTATTTTGAGGGTTCAGCCTGTGGACACTCAAAACAGCGTTATCGTGATGTCCTTGTGTATGAAGAATTTGACTTTTTGAAATTGTATTTTTGTTTGTTTTTTAGAGAGGAAAACCATTGAAGATGATAATTATGTCCGCTACACTCAGAGTAGAAGATTTTACAGAAAATAAACAATTATTTAAAATACCACCACCTGTGTTAAAAGTCAACTCTCGTCAGTTTCCTGTAACTATTCACTTCAACAAACGGACGCCTGTGGATGATTATTTATCAGATTGTTTTAAAAAGGTCAGTTGATGTATATTCCTCGTCATTATTTTTTGAATATTATTTCCATTTATAATATCTCGGTACACACTTGATTCAATTCAATCTGATTAAATACAGATCTATATTTCATTTTTATACGCCCACATTTTCATGTGGACGTATATTGTCGTCGCCCCTGTCCGTCCGTCCGTCGACAATTGTTTGTGAACAGTCTACAGGTCACAATTTTTATTCGATTTCAATGAAACTTGAAATATAGGTTTATCACCCTAAGATCTTGGTTCCTTTCGATATTGGCATGTATCGGACTGTAATTTCATGGATTATGGCCCCTGATTGTACGAAAAATCACGTTTTTAGCTTGTGCACACTGTATAGGTCACAATTTTTACTTGAAATGTATGCTTATAACCCAAAGATCTTGGTTCCTTTCGATATTCGTGGATATTGGAACGTAACTTCCTGAATTTTATATATATACTTTCGATGGCCTACACTACATGAAGATCTGACCGGTTGTAGTGATAGGTCGCATCAGGAGTCGTACGAGCAGCTTTTGACCCTATGACGTCAGACATTGATTAATCAATCAGCACTGACGTTTCTAGGGGTTTCCCACAGTTCCACGCATCGCACGCCAAGAACTTGCTGTGACAGACCATTTCATTGGTTAATCCCTCATTTCAACCAGAACACGGATTATATAACAATTCTTTCAGATCCTAGTGTAGTAAAGACAAGTAAAACAAAATTTTGAACTATAAAAAACGGAACAAAATATAGGATCTGTGTTGTAATCAGGTTGGGATTCAAATCCTGGACGTCAACATGTTGACGTCTCGTTATCATGCTTCATTTTTACCTTCCCAGGAACCCTGTTTATAAGCTGTGAACGTGGAGGTCAAAGGGAAAAGCAGATGATGAAATCTACTTCTGACACCTCTTATGATAAATAATGAAATGTGATAGTAGTTTACTGATGCTAATAATCCAACGAATAAGATATTTAGAAATATTTATTTATGGTGGGGCACCTTAGAATAAGATAACATTTCCCTGATGACATGATTTAAATTATTAAGTGTATTGAATTGCATTAACAACAACCACACTACAGAACTAACTAAAAGACCTTTACATGCAAGGAAATTGTTAAAATAAATTGTACCATATCTTAGTCCCGAAATGACTTTTTTGTCCTGAGTGGATGTTAGACCCTATTGTTCTTTCTCCTTTCGATGTAAATCACACCGACAAAATCACTCAACCCACCTACATGTTCCGCATCCCGCTTACATACATGTAGGTGCCTTTTATGATCAATTTCTGTGCCCCCTCCCCCTCCTTCTCCTCTCCTTTTAAGCATATTTACTATACTATTGTTTACTAGGTATGTAAGGTACATCACCCCTCCCTACCTTATAATTGTATTATTATATTAAGTTGTTTTACTAGGTATAAGGTACATCATCCCTCTCTTCCCTCCCCTTCCCTCCCTCCCTCCGTCCCTCCCTCCCTGCCTTATAAATGTATTATTATATTGTTTTACTAGGTATGTAAGATACATCGTATGTTGCCGTCTGGAGGCATACTGGTATTTGTAACAGGACAACAAGAAGTTCGAACTCTCTGTTATAAATTACGCAAAATGTTTCCTTATGATCCGCACCAAGGTTAGTATTGTTACATATAACAAGAACGAAAGTCAACAAAATCATAGCCATCTTGGAATTGTGACGTTGTGTAGTTGTCAAAGGAACGGACATGCAAAGTTTCGTATCGATCGAGAGGGTCACGGTGGCTAAGTGGGTAAGACGCTGGCTCGCTAGCCTTGAGGTCGGGTGATGCAGGACAAAAGGCCTGACAAGGACAGCTGCCTAGTCATTCGGATGGTCTGAAAAACTGAGGACCCGTGGACACATTGGCGTGCACGTAAAAGATCCCTTGACCTTGGAATTCTATATAAGAGTAGGCCGTTGTGCCATTGTCTGGGCAAACTGTATGGCACACTGTATGGCGTATGCCCGTCTTCATTAGCCCAGTTGGAGCAGAACAGTAGGACGTTAAACCCCATTTCATTCCATTTCATATCGATCGAACTTGGAATTGATCAAGCCATATACTTTTTTTTCGAAGAGTGTCGTCCCCAAGAAGAAATACAAAAAGATAGGTAACTTTTGCGGCTCTGTTCCGGGTCAAAATAAAGAGTCATTCATATATTGGTGTAAAAAGTTTAGATATTCTTTTATAACCTATCAAGTATATGAAGTTTTCATGTGTCGTTAATTAAAAAGATAATTGTCTGCTTTTGACTTGGGAAGAATCCTACATAATTCGAGAGTCGCATTTCAGTTCCATGAGAGTTATTTTCCATTTCCATATATATCACTTTAAACGCTGTACAGCCAAGAGTCTTGGATAATTTCTTTCAAACCTGCTGTGATTGTCTAATCATGAAACGGAACTCAACAAAATTCTGAATTGTGCGTGTAGTTTATTACTTCAGTCACAAGTGCAAAAGTATTGGGATGTTTTTCAAACTTGCTGGAAATTTTTTTTATTGTTGTAAAGAAAGGTAAATCATCAAAATCCAACCAATTAGTTTTTGCATCTTGACACCATAAAACGTGAAAACCTCTCTTCCATGACAGATGCTATAGGTTTGTGTAAAAACTCTCTTCCGGATGCTGTATGTTTGTGTTTAGTTTTGTGTTTATGCTGATGGCGATTTATTTTTATTTTAGTTTTACCCAATAAAAAAGAGGAACGTAAAAAAAATAAAAAGAAGAAAAGGGAGAAAAAAATACAGAAAAAGATTGAAAAAATTGACTTACCTAAAGTTGACTTGAACAAGTAAGTTAAAAAACAAAGTACAAAATAGTTTTAAAAATGTACAACTGAAAAATACCAATCATTTTGACTTTAATTAACCAGTTAGTTCGCAGGTTCGACCCCTGTGTTGGTCGAGAAAGTTCATCAGGATTTCCACGCATATTTCCCGCTTGTCAGAGGTGCAGGACAGCTGTCTAGTCATTGGGATGGGACAAAAAATGAGGTTCTATAAAACCTGTTGATGTTATCTTGTAGTTATTCTATAAAACCTGTTGATGTTATCTTTTAGTTATTCTATAAAACCTGTTGATGTTATCTTTTAGTTATTCTATAAAACCTGTTGATGTTATCTTTTAGTTATTCTATAAAACCTGTTGATGAAGAAGGAGAAATGGATGTTCTTGGTGAAGATTCCGATCTCGATATTTTATCTGAAGGGGAATCAGAAACAGAAGACATGGGGAAGGATCCGGAGGTAGGAAAAAAACAAAATATTTGTTTTGTTTTTTTAAATTTTACAAATGTACCGTTTCAATATGTTTTGGATGGTCTAGAAATTTACAGTTAATATTTTGTAACTACAATCCAGGGCCCTAATTCACAAAAACTTAAACTAAGTTACAACCGAAATTTTAAGAAATACTGCAACTTCATTGGATATATGCAAATTGATTTTACTGGTCAGTCAATCGAATTGCAGTATTTCTTAAAATTTCAATTGTATCTTAGTTTAAGTTTTCGTGAATAAGGGCCCAGAGATGTTTCGAGTTTAGAGGATTGTTATTGTTCATTGGAGGCCAAGATAGCGCAGTGAGTCACTCCTTAAATCTTAAAGTACTGTTAGTCTCCAGCGACACCAATTTTTAGCCAATAAAAATCCCCAAATTTTCGTAATGTATTTATGTAAACACACAGGAGCCTGACCTTTGAATTTTAGGGGTTGCAATGGCAGGGCTGGAAAAAGTTGGACTGATGCTACGGAAAACCAAGGCATGCATCCTTGACAGTAGGATATCGAAGAGGAGAAGGTGGAATTAAAAATTACCACTCGTTTGTCTCAAGATTATATAATTACGAGCGGATAACCCAGCGCTGCACAGGTTGAAAGTAGTGCAATGCCACCAGGCCTATGTTACTCCCCGGTCCGAGTTACCCCTATATTCCAAATTTCCGCATCGGGACAGTTCTAATCTGATAAAAACACAGATCCTATTTCGTTTTGTTTTTATAGTTCAAAATTTCGTTTTACTTGTCTTTACTATACTTGGATCTGGATCGTGTTCTGAATGGTGTCAGAGATAAGCCAATGAAACGGTCTGTTACGGCGAGCTTTAGACGTGTTTTGCACGGAACTGTGGGTAATCCACTAGTAACATCAATGCTGATTGGTTAATCAAATGTCTGACATCATAGGGTCATAAGTCGGTCTTTTGACCCCTGACGTGACCTATCGCTACAACTTGTCAGATCTTCATGTAGTAAAGGCTGCCGAGAGTATAAAAAAACGAAACGAAATATAGATCTGTATTGTAATCAGATTGATTCTAGTGTAGCCGCCAACCCTGAACAAACAAACGGACGAACAACAGTCACAAATATTAGTATAGATAGATATAATTATGTTTTATTCTTACAGGAATCTGAAGAGACTGGATGTCAGACACCATTATATGTTTTACCTTTATACTCTCTATTACCCAGTCATAAACAGATTAGGGTAAGATATAACATTTTTTCTACCACAATTGTTCAAAACCACAACCCAGAGGTTACTGGCCAGCTAGAGGTCAAAGCGTGACACTCTAGACCACTAGGCCATCCCAACCCCCCACATTTCGCAGTACCCGGCCCCGGTTTAATAAACCATTCTCAAACTTAAGTTAAGAATTTACTCAAAATTGTTCGCCTTATTTTAACTAAAATATAGCCCTATATAAAACTGTTGTTTTAATGTATCAAATACATCAATAAGAAACTATGTGCAAAGTTTTTTGTTTCTGTATCAAAGATATTTCTCATAAACTGTGATTAGAAGTTGAGTAAATTCTTAACTTGAGTCTGAGAATGCTTTGTGAAACTGGGGCCTGGTTATATAGTTGAGATGACTTTGGGAATCACCAAACTTCTCTACTGCATTTGGATATTTATTGCTAGCAGTTTGTTTAATTTCTATTGATGTGCTGTTATTCTGTTATTTCTTACTGATATGTTTGTATGTTTAATTGACAGGTTTTTGACGAGGCGCCACCGGGATGTCGTCTGTGCGTTGTATCAACAAATGTAGCAGAAACATCTTTAACTATCCCAAATATCAAATATGTTGTAGATACGGGCAAGGTAATTTCTGTTATAAACCTTTAAAATAAACTCATAGCTCAAATGGCTCAGGTTTGAATCCTGTTGTTACAGTTATAAACTTTGAATTAAACCTAGGGGGTTGTTGCCATGGTAATCGAATGGCCATGGTACTGTGCTCACAACTAGAAAGTGCTACATTTGAAGCTTGGCTTGCGCCTAAAAGTACCATAAGGATTTCTGAAGCCTGGTGCCACTAAACCAATATATGGCCACAAATAGACGGATTGCAAAATCATATACTAATATACAGAAGCAAGTTTCTACTTAGGATCTCTGAAGCATTGTGGGGGGTTGGATGGCCGAATAGTTAGCACGTGGGCGCTGTGTCATAAGGTCTGTCATTGAGTCAACTGGTGTGGTTTCGATTCCCCGGTTGTACGTGACAAGGAGTAGGGTCGCTTGTACAACCTCATGGGTTTTCTGCGTGTCCTCCGGTTTCCTCCCACTGCTAATTAAAGATCCCTATGCGCAAGCAAATTATTGAAATAAAATTGAACCATGTGTTAGTCCCGAAATGACCTAGTTTGTGTGAGTGGACATTAAACCTCTCTCTCTCTCTCTCTCTTTCTCTCTCTCTCTCTGAAGCATTGTAACACTAAAACAATCCATGGTCATAGGTTTCAAAATGGTAAACAAATATAGGCTTCTCTGGTTCTTATCTATGATGAAAACTTCTGTGGAAGCAGACATTAAACGACCAAGTGAATTGTGGTGGTGGTGGTGGTTGTGATGATGATGATGGTGATGATGTCTTCTTACACAGATATCAAAACATATGGAATGGATTACAAACTAGATTCTTCTTCTTCAGGTTAAAACTAAATTCTACGATAAAGTAACAGGTGTTTCGACATTTAAAGTTACCTGGACGTCTCAAGCTTCAGCCAATCAGAGAGCAGGAAGAGCTGGGCGTGTGTCACCTGGTCATTGTTATCGGTACGTTATGTTTTATACAATAATTATATAAGGGTTGATTTATGTACTGTAGCGCATGCACAAGTTTATATGGGTTCTCCCCTTTCATCCCACTAGGAAGTCGTGATAAGAGTTCTGTGATGGAAATTTTCCCTGGAAAGTGGCTCTTTTGAGTAACATGCTGCCAATGGTAGACTTAGCACCTCAATTCTTCATGCAATCTAAATGACTACATGCTCTGTCCTGCACAACTAGGCTGGAAAAATGTATAAAGAAAATGAATGGGGGTTGAGTATGTCATTGAGGCAAGAGGCATAGTTTCAATCCTAGAATTGCACATTATGATGAGTAAGGTCGTCTGTTCAACCTTGTGGGGTTTCTTTGGGTACTCCATTTTCCTTCCACTGCTTAAGAACATAAATGCAAGCGAATTATTGAATGTGTTGAATGCACATTAAACACCGCTAAAAAAAAAATGTCCTGGTAGGGGCTGGTTTGTTAGATGGTCCAGCAACATAAAGCTAGTAACACTGTGACCAGGGTATCATTTAATCTTGTGTGATGATGTAATCTTGTAATCGAGAAATTAAACACTTGTTAATTGGACCCTCATTATCAAAATTGAACAGTCAGCTTTAAACTGGATACAAGTACAAATTAGATGATTTTTGGTGATTTTTAACAATTTTGACAAATTTTCAAACAAAGATGTGATATTAAACGAATGTGAAAGAAATTAGTGCTAGATACACAAGATTAAACGATTCTCGGGTAACAGTATTAAATGATTGAATACACAGTAAATTTAGTTTTGATATGATTATATTTTCAGTTTATATTCATCGGCTGTATTTAATGATGATTTTGAGATGTTTTCACCACCCGAGATTTGTAGACGTCCTGTAGATGATCTTTTGTTACAGATGAAGGTCATTTACATTTCTTTTTGTTATAAAATAAACACAAAATATCTCAATCTGATTAAAATACAGATCTATATTTCGTTTCATGGAGATCTGACTAGTTGTAATGGGAAGTCGCGTCAGGGGTCATACAAGCGGCTTTTGACCATATCACGTCAGACATTTGATTAACCAATCAGCGTTGATGTTTCTAGTAGGAACACACCAAGAACTCACCGCAACAGGCCGTTTCTTTGGCTAATCCCTCACATCAACCAGAACGTGGATTATTTAACAACTCTCCCAGATCCTAGTGTAGTAAAGACAAGTAAAACGAAATTTTGAACTATAAAAAAATAAACGAAATGGGATCTGTATTTTCATCAGATTGGAAATGTTCACAAGCAATACATGAATTTAGAGATGATAAGATTGATCTGTAAAGTGTAAAGCTTCTCCCCACAACACTCCATTCATTTTGTTTTATATGCTAGAGAGGTTAATTTTTAAAACGTGATTTTTTCAGGAGATGAATATTGATAAAGTACAGAATTTTCCCTATCCTACTCCACCAGATATTGAACAGTTAAAGGTAAATATTTAATTGCCTCATCATCATCATCATCATCATCTACATGGTTTATAACTACATAATCATCATCTATATGGCTTAACAACTACATATTGAATCTAATCACACTCAAATTTTTTTTTTAAATGGGTTTTGAACCTTATCACGCTTAATGTTTTCTTTTTAGAGAAATGTGTTTTAAACGGAATAAATTTTAAAAAGAAATGCTTAATTAAAAAGACGTGCTTTTTATCAAAAGAAATGCATTTTTACGAAAGAAATGCTTTTTAAACTAGATTTGTCTAAACTATTTGATAGGTTTTCTGTAGTCACAGAGACGATGCTGATATCTAGTAAATAGTGGAGACTGGGCCATGCTTGTGCATATGAATGGATTGCCAGAAATTAGTACTTTATATGCAATTGGTTTTAATCTGTTATATATCCCCCACCACTTAAAACATGAATTTTCCCAAGATCTCATCACAACCAATAGACCCAGATCTTTTTATGTTAGTTTTTATTTTTATCAAAATGAAGAAATTATTCATGGAACTAGGTATCCATTTATCCTAGTGTTCATTTACAAAAATCAGAAATAACATGGTTGTGGAATTTCTTCAAATTCAAGAAATCTCAATTTGTTTGTAGGCAGCTGAAAGTTTATTGTTATCTCTTGGAGCTTTATCAACACCAGATCGACCGAAACATATCAAACGTAGACAGGACAAAGGTAAATAGAATCTAATTAATCTGCCGTTCATTGCTTAGTTTTATTAAAATAAATATTAAATTTTTCTCTGACATATTTTCAATTAGTTTAAATTTGGCTGTTATGTTCTTATAAAGCTTTTCGATCTTATAAAAATTTGCTGCAAATTGAACGTATGAAAACTCACAATAAAAGTCATGGTAGCTAAAATAAGTGATGATTTTAACTTTCAAGAGGTTTTCGTGATTTTGTAGAATTGCCTTCTGATTTGACATAGCATATCAGTTAGGTTGTTTTCTCTGACTTGGGACGTTTGCGGCTAGCTCCGGGATCCATTCCCTTGCCAGATATGTGCATTTGTTGTTTGAGGTGCCTGTGTATATTGTGTTCTGTCTATAGGTTTGATTTGTGTAATTGTTGATGTGTGGTGTGATCCGCTTCCCTTACTATTTCATGTTTTCCAATATTTTGAACACAAAAATAATCCAATTATACATATTTTGGTTGTTTAAATAAAGAGCATTGATGTACAAACCAAGGATTCCATGTATATGTGGTTGTGTTTTTAATGTGGTTAATCGCTAAATACTACTCAAGGAATACTGACTTCAAGATATGTTTTTCGTTTTCAGAGTTAACAAAGATTACTCCCCTTGGCCGTGGAATGGCTAAGTTTCCTGTCTCACCACGATATGCTAGAATATTAGCTTTAGGTCATCAAGAGAATCTCCTACCATATGTTATAGCAATTGTATCAGCTTTATCTGTAGATGAATTATTTATTGAGACACCAGTACCTAGCGAGGTAAATATTCTTATTTTGATTGCAGGGGTTGAATAGCGAATGGTGCACGTTGTATCATAAGGCCTGTCATTGAGTCAACTGACATGGTTTCGATTCCCGGGTTGTACGTGACAAGAAGTAGGGTCGACTGTCCAACCTTTTGGGTTTTCTCCAGGTCATGATTTTGGACTACTCCTTATAACGCTCAACTGGAAATGAAAACCATGCAACTTAACCCAATTACAGACCTTATGATTTAAACCACTAGACTGCCCCCCTCCCCCCACACTAATAATTATATGTTTGCCTGAAATATCTGACTAATCTGTCATAAATAAAGAACAACAGTATCTGGTCACTCACACAAGATTAAATAATGACAATCTAAATGTATATGCAATTTGATTTAAATTTGTTTGTGCCTGTTTTTGAAAGTGTGTTAATTGTTTTTTTACAGAAAACTGATGGTAAGCAGAAACAGAAAACTTCACAAATCAGAAAGTTGTGGGCTGGAGGTGTAAGTTAATGTATTGTATACTTTTTACATATAATGTATATCAGAAGCTGAAATATAGTAGGAGCATTAGTTCGTCCAAAAGGCATGTTACATATATTAAGCATATAAAAATGGAGTAAATCTATACAGAAGGCATTCTACGTCTTAATTTCTTCCTCCATTAAGACCTTTTAATAACCTCAATAAATTTCCACTTTTCAAAAATATTTGACCACCATTCAATAATTAAGACACATATTCTTATGAATTTATATATTTTTGTATTTCTATATGCAGGGTCAGTCTTTGTTATTAGGTGATTTAATGGTATTATTAAAGGCTGTAGGGGCATGTGAATATCAGGGTTTTACTCCAGAATTCTGCACTAAGTTTGGTATCAGATATAAATCCATGAAAGAAATTAGAAAATTACGAGCGCAGTTAACAAATACAGGTAGATATGTAAATATTTGTAACTTGTTAATTAGCTCACAGGCCTTATTCCGGAAAACTTAAGCTAAAATACATTTGAATGAAATTTTCAATATATTCATTTTTCATTATCTATTTTTGAACTATTATTACAAGAACGTCCAGTTCTTATCTAAATCTTACCTACTGTAGTCTTCTACTAAGTGTGATTTTATTTTTTTCAGTAAATATTGTGATACCTGATGCCAACCTATGTGTAGATCCGAAGTTATCTCCCCCTACTGATGTCCAGTGTAAGATGTTACGGCAGATTGTATTGGCTGGTTTAGCTGATCATGTGGCCAGGTAATTAACATTTTATTTTAACAGAAAACTTGAGGAATTTAACACAGAGAGACTACTGTATTTTCAATAGATAGTTCCTGATATTTTGAAAAATATGAAATAAATACAAAAGAAATCTAACCCCCGCGACAATGTAAATCTTGTTGGCCGCAAGTGTTGTTTTACAGGATCAGTGTTGAATTGTTTTAAAATAAATTTGTATTTTAAGGAGATATCCAGACCCTCCACCAGGTGCTAGTGATGATGCCAGAAAACTAAAACATGCCTATCAGGTAACTATGTGGACTCCTTACGTATTTACTATGAGTGCATTAAACCCTATTTGATTTCATTTATTTAAATTTAGTAGCACGTTAAACCCTATTTGATTTCATTTATTTAAATTTAGTAGTACATTAAACCCTATTTCATTTACGCTGTGTGGACTTAATATTGGGAATATGGGATATGATAATACTTGAATTAGTGTGTGTGTGTGGGGGGGGGGGCTAGTTTGTTGTCCCCTGGGACCCATTTCATTCAACCTTCATCTATTTTATTTGTATATTTTAACAGTGTACTGAATTAGAGGAACCAGTTTTTATTCATCCTTCATCTATTTTATTTGTATATTTTAACAGTGTACTGAATTAAAGAAACCAGTTTTTATTCATCCTTCATCGGTTTTGTTTTTATATTTTAACAGTGTACTGAATTAGAGGAACCAGTTTTTATTCATCCTTCATCTGTTTTGTTTAAAGAGAAATGTGATTATATAGTTTATCAGAATATCCATGAAACATCAAAACTCTATATGAAAGGTGAGTAAGAGAGAGAGAGAAAAGTTGGGTTTCAGGTCCACTCAGGGACTAACACTGGTTCAATTTTATTTCAATAACTCGCTTGCGCGTAGGAGTCTTTAGCAGTGGGAGGAAACCGAAGGACAGACGACTCTACTCCTTGTCACGTACAACCAGGGAATCGAAATCACACCAGTTGACTCAAAGACAGACCTTATGATACAACGCACATGCGCTAACCGTTTGGCCATTCACTTCTTTATTATTGGTCTGATACTGACAGATAGTCATTTTAAGATGAGTTATTTGCCCATGAATCGGATTCAGACCTTATTTTATAATCTGACTCACTTAGGCAGCACTCGTTTGAAAGTTCCGGAATTGAATTCTATCAATCTCAAAAATAGTGACAATCGAGTTAAAAGGAGTATTTCAGGCTGCAACGCATGCGTCGACTGGATAAGTAAAATATCTCAACCAACCACACAGCCAAAACATATTCGTTATGTTTAATTACGTCACGATTCTACTCACACCACCTCGGTAGTGGGGACTGACAGAACTGTGACAGGACTGAATTCCATATCACTCGATTGCAATTCGGGAGGTTATGGACTGTGAAGCGAGCATCACCTAAATCACAGTTTAATATTGAAAGAAACTTTCCATGTTACAGGTGCTTGTGATAGATATACCTGGTAATATACCTGATGAATGATAATATACCTGGTAATTAATGATATTTTATATTTTATAATTCAGGTGTTGTATCCATAGAACCAGAATGGTTACCATTATTTGCTGGATATCATTGTTCTTTCTCACGACCTTTAGATGACCCTTCACCTTTCTATGATACCATAAAAGGAGAGGTCACATGTTACATGACCAGTAGCTTCAGTAAGTATTAGTAGTACACGTGTATGTTTAGGAATCCCACGAACTACAAGGCTCACTAACCAGTAAGTCCTGGGGCCTGTTTCACGAAATTTTAACTGTTGTTGGCCAAGAAAATTTCTCAGATTTTCTATCCTGGTTTCCTATTGTCACTGGTTATTCGAATTTCCTGAAATGAAATGAAATGAAATGAAATGGGGTTTAACGTCCTACTGTTTTGCTCCTATGCTGGGCTAATGAAGACGGGCATACGCCATACAGTGTGCTATGGGGGAAATTTTGCCCGGGCAGGGGCACTATCGCCTACTCTTATATCAAATTCCAACTGCCAAGGGATCTTTTACGTACACACCAATGTATATACAGGACCTCGGTTTTTCGGCCATCCGAAGGACTAGACAGCTGTCCTTGTCAGGCGCTCCGTCCTGCATCGAATTTCCTAGATGAGTAGTCGTTATATATGAATACATGCAGGAGAAACCAAAAAACACCTATGATAGGTAGAAATAGAAGAATAAGTAAAAATGCTTTACTCAAATTGTACACCTAAGGATAGAAAATAAAATGAGGTTATTGATAAGATGTTGACCAGATTCCATTCCTTACTAAATCAGTAATTTCTCAATTATTTTCCAGGTCGATGTAATTGGTCGATACCAGCAGTACCAATTGAATATCCACACAACATTGATAAGTTTCGTTGGTTTGCCAGATTTCTATTGGAAGGAACAGTTTGTCCGAAACTAAAAGAATTTGTTAACGTTCTTCTCTCCACACCTGCTACCATGATTAAATCTTGGGCCAAGTAAGTTATACGTTAAAATAGAAATATAGTACTTAAAAGATGATCGAGATACATACAGTACCACTGATCCTAAAAGATGATCCAACCTCGTGGATTTTTTCCGGGTCTTCCGGTTTCCTCTCACTGCTAAAGACCCCTATGTGCAAGTGAATTATTGAAATGAAATTGAACCATATGTTAGTCCTGAAATGACCTAGTTTGTGTCGAGTGGGCATTAAACCTCATTTCTCTCTCCCTAGCTAAAAGAGAAAAGATACAGTATCACCGATCCTAAATGATGATTAAAATATCATTTTATCCACATTTGAAGATAATACCATATGGACCAGGAATTAAGCATGGCGTCATCGCCGCCATCCTAGAATTAGGAAATCATAGCATAAATCAAAGTCCCTCCATCAATACGCAGTTTGTTTAAGGAACAAACATATACCCAGATTGTACTTGAATTGACCTCTTGCTATAATTAAATGTTAAATTATTATAATTTCAGATTACAACCCAGAACGGAAGTATTATTACAAGCATTGGTAGGAAGAAATGTAACTAATAAAAAAAGTCTACTTGATGCCTGGAACACAGATAACATGTGTAAGTTTGATTCTGTCTATATGAAATCAAAGCTTACGTTTCCTACACGGAACTAGGCCATGACGACGGCATACGAGAGAGAAATGGGGTTTAACGTCAACTCGACACAAACTAGCAGTGTTCCCGTGGTCCTTGAAAATCCTTGAATATCCTTAAATTTAAAATTTCATTTTCAAGGTCTTGAATATTCTTGAATTTCACGGAAATAGGAAAATATCCTTGAATTTCAGTTGAGGTCCTTAATTTTGTTTCAAATGTCTTCAATTCCTTTTAAATATGAGATTATAATGATAGTTGGTAATGTTTTGGTTATTTTTAAGATGAAAAATTGTAACTTTAGGCTAAAAAATGTCCTTGAAAATCCTTGAATTTGACGTATATTTATCCTTGAATATCCTTGAAAAAATGTTTGACGAAGCCGCGGGAACCCTGACTAGGTCATTTCGGGACTAACATATGGTTTAATTTTATTTCAATAATTCGCTTGCGCGTATGGGTCTTTAACAGTGGGAGGAAACCGGAGGACCCGGACAAAACCCACAAGGTTGGACAAGCGACCATACTCCTTGTCACGTACAACCGGAGATTCGGAACCACGCCAGTTGACTCAATGACAGGTCGTATGATACAGCACTCACGTGCTAACCATTTGGCCATCCAACACCCCCCCCCCCACCCCCCCCGTTTGCTATCAGACATCTTGGGGTTTGCATCACTTCTTCACAATTAGACACTTTCCTTGCCAGGCCCTCCATCCTGTACCAAGGACTATGGATATTAAAGGACAATATTGGTGCCAGTTATTATCACATATGTGTTAGAGCTAATAATTCCTTCGAAGACCAAAAGTTGTTATATGGGACTGTAAGAGGATATCTGACAATTCAATAAAGTAATTGAATGTCATTAGATAAGAGAACACGAGAAAAATAGAAATAGTCCGTACATTCCCTTGTTTATATTCATTCTATACCTTATAAAAACACGGTAATGCACGGACTTTTTCTGTTTTTCTTTCGTGTTCTCTTATCTAGTGGCAGTCAATTCTTTTTATGAATTGTCAGATATCCTCTCACAGTGTCACACAGCAACTGTTGGTCTTCAAAGGAATTATTAGTGAGCAGAAATTCGGCCGTGTATCTGTTATCACTCGTCGCTTCAGTCAGTTATATTGAGCGGTGACTCGTGTTTTCCTTTGGCGTTCGTCACTTCCGATACGGGAAACCTGTATTACTCAGCTATCGTAGCAATGATCTCTGTGTTAAAAGTATATTTGGAATGTGTTTAACCAGCTCTAACACACATGTGATAATGACTGGCACCAATATTGTCCTTTAAACACGATGATAAACTAATTGATTATTATTATTTTATTTTACAGATTTATATAACGAGTACTGTCATTGGGTACCTGAAGCCGTCCATTACGATGTAAAAACAAAATGGCCTCCAATAGGATGAAATGGCTTGATTATCAACTCTTGACAACATTGATTAACATCAAGTTCTGTGTTAATACTGACACCTGTCTAGACTCTAGACAGACTTATGTGATGTCATCAAATGAGAAATGCAACAGACAGCCACATGGGTTCCTGCCCACGATTTGTCTTCAGAATTGATCAGGATCTATCGGCCTATTTACAGGCTGTAGTAAAAGTATAAAAATAAATTACAATGATGGACAGTTAAAGTTAAGAATACTGCTAATTATACATTGCTGAAGAACAGATACTTGTGTTATTAGACTACTTTACCTCATACTCCTTTCAAAAAGTCATCTTGTTTAGCGAGATTTGTGTTTGTATTCATGGAAATAACAATTTGAAAGATTATGGTGAAGTTGTTATTTGGTGTGTATTGTTAACCAATCAACAATGTATTATTATGTGGGTCTGAGTCTATAATACATGTTATAGATAATACATGTTACATTTTATTCTTGACCAGAACCAAACCTGTAAACCCTGACATAGAATACATACAGTCATACAGCTGCCATAGTTATGTTTAATTGCATGTAATTGGATTCTTTATGATATTACTAAATTGCTTGGTACCCAATATTATCAATATATCAACAGAACGAATTGTTGAGTACCCTATATTACCAATTGTTGGAATTGTTGGGTACCCTATTTTACCAATTTCTGGTATTGTTGTGTACCCCTGTATTGCCAATTGTTGGAATTGTTGGGTACCTATTTTACCAATTTCTGGTATTGTTGTGTACCCCTGTATTGCCAATTGTTGGTATTTCTGGGTACCCTGTATTACCATTTGTTGGTATTGTTGGCGACCCCTTTTTTTACCAATTGTTGGTGACCCCTTTTTTTACCAATTGTTGGTATTGTTGTGTACCCTGTATTTGAACTTCACCTAATTCCCACCCTATTTTCAAGTTAAACATAAATGTATAATATTAAACATTTATACAAGTGCCTATAAATATTATTGTTACCTATATATTGGTAAGTGTATCATATTAAACAATTGTACCTATAAATATGATTGTTATGTATATATTGTTGAATGTTATGAAATATAATAAATAAAACCATTTTGATAAATATAATGTGTTTATAGACTTATATATACAAAACATCCAGGTTAAATTAAATAAATTTATTTATAGATACCAGTAATATGTTTATTAGAAATCCTAGGACATTAACCATACATTATGCAAGAGCTAAATCTGCCTATTGCAGGTCTTTCTTTATGCCTGAAATGTTATCTAAACTAGCCTGCGATACTTAGGGGATTTAAATACAATTTGTGATGGATGATTAAATGTAAAGATGGATAATCGAGACTTGTTTATTATTGTGTCAATGTTAGTAATGACGATCGACTGAAATATTTTCAGTTTTCACTATCTAGTTTTTAACTATTATAGCGAGAACTGTCAGCTCTTTATCTAATGGGGGGTTGGATGGCCGAATGGTTAGCACGTACGCGCTGTATCATAAGGCCTGTCATTGAGTCAACTGGCGTGGTTTCGAATCCCCGGTTGTACGTGATGAGGAGTAGGGTTGCCTGACCAGCCTCGTGGGTTTTCTCCGGGTCCTCCGGTTTCCTCCCACTGCTAAAGACCCCTGCGCGCACGCGAATTATGTAAATAAAATTAAACCATATGTTAGTCACAAAATGACCAAGTCTGTGTCGAGTTTTGTTAATGTACAAATCGGTATTTATAATAAAATGGTATCTTAGTAATTAACAATACACACCAAGATGTTAGTCACAAAATGACCTAGTCTGTGTCGAGTGGACGTTAAACCCCATTTCTCTCTCTCTCTCTCTCTCTCTCCCTCTCCCTCTCTCTCTTTCTCTCCCCTCTCTCTCTCTCTCCCTCTCTCTCTCTCCCCTCTCTCTCCCTCTCTCTCTCCCCCCCTCTCTCTCTCCCTCTCTCTCCCCCCTCTCTCTCTCCCCCTCTCTCTCCCCCTCTCTCTCTCCCCCTCTCTCTCTATCTCTCTCTCTCTCTCTCCCCCTCTCTCCCTTTGTCTAATCTTACCTAATGACCCTTTCAGTTCAAGGTTATTTTGTATATAAATATGTGTATATATGCACAAGTGATAACATTGATACGACACTGATAACAATTCATTACTGTCTGTCTATCACAGGGGCAAAAACTGGTTAATTATATGGAAAGCATATTGAACTCTTATTCTAGTCCGGTTCCACTGTGGCTCAGTGAGAATGACCTTGGCTCACTAACCCGGAGGTTCCGTGTTCAATTCCTGCATGTGTTTGCCGAGAAAGTTCATAGGGATTTTCCGGTGTGGTTCCGCCATGTAGAGGCAAGGGACAACGGATGGGCGAACAAACGAGGTCCCGTGTACATACTGACGTACACGTAAAAAATCCATTGACAGTTGGAATTCGATACAAGAGTAGGTTGTAGCGTATGCCCGTCTTCATTAGCCCATTCGGAGCAGAACAGTAGGACGTTAAACCCCATTTCATTTCATGTATTCTAGCGGCATGGTTTGCCCTTGTCGGTGGTGCAGGATGTAGAGTATGACATGGAGCAGTGTATAGTCGTTCGGATGGGAAGCCCACTTAAAACATATTTCTTGGAGGGCACACTGCGGACACCCCGCTTACATGACACACACTCCCCCTGTGACTAAGTGAAGGGTGCATATGCTTAGGGCGCACCTGTATATTCAGTAGAATTATACTTTACTGGTTGGTAGGCTCTGCACGTGATTTGCGGACGTGATGATTTCTAAAATTGTTTTAAATGTCGATATGATCTATGGTGGGACATTCCGGCTATGGATTCGCTCATCCCGAGTAGGAATTCGATCATCCAGACTAGGGATTCGATCATCCAGACAAACGATTCATCATCCAGAAATGAAATAAACTGGGATTTAACGTCCTTCAGTTCTTCTCCGGCTGGGCTAATGCAGACGGCCGATAATCCGGACTAAGGATTCGCTAACCACGGACAGGGATTCGATCATCCAAGGTAGTCAGATTTGAGTATCCAGGCTCGGGATTCGATCATCATCTAATTGACTCGGACGACAGGTGAACAACAATACATTTTACACCAAACGATACCAAGAATATTTCTAGATGATACTTGTATTTAGGTCAAGGCTGTGAATTGATTAAACGACTTTAAGTGATATAGATACTTACAATCAAGGTATAATCATAATCAATTGTTGTTTTTATTTTGTCCATTGTATCTTAAACAGGGAGATAACAGGTTATAGGAAGATAAAGCAATTTGCTTTCGTTAGTTCGGCAGAACCTGGACATTGGGCGTTGAAGCTTCCTGTGTGATTGACAATAGTGTAACTGCCAAGACAGATTTATATTGTCCTAAATTATTGTGTTGCCTTAAAATTGGGTGATCGACGACGATCAACAGATTGTCCTAAGTTACGGTGCGGTCAGGGAAAGTAAACATTGTCCTAAGCTACTACCCCAGTACGATGTGGCTGCTGGAATTAGTGTTATCATTCCTACTGGTCCATGTGATAACTTCAAGTGGACCTCATAGGAATAAGTTTGATCCAGGTAGAACCAACGTCCTCGTGTTGCTAGGCGACGATGCAGGTGTACAGATGTCAGCGTATAATAATGCAGCCATTAAATCACCAAACTTTGATAAATTATCAGAGAGAAGTGTTGTTTTTAGTCATGGTTTTACGTCCGTCAGCAGCTGTTCTCCTAGCAGGTAAATGTTTTCTTCCGTCAGCAGGTCCTCACCCAGCTGGTATATGTTTTACTTCCGTAAACAGATGGTTACGCAGCAGGTAAATGTGTTACTTCCTTCGGTAGCTGCTTACCTATCAGTTTAATGTTTTACTTCTGTCAGCAGCTCCTCGCCCAGTAGGTAAATGTTTTACGTCCGTCAGCAGCTCCTCGCCCAGCAGGTAAATGTTTTACGTCCGTGAGACACTGCTCACCTAGCAGGTCCTCACCCAGCAGGTAAATGTTTTATTATCTTGATGTCTAGATTTCTTGATGTCGGAAGTATACCACTGGCAGTATTTCGTTTCTGTTGAAATTAATCTAAATGTCTCGTCTGGTTCATAGCCATACATTCGCAAGATCATGGACCTTACGATGTATTTTAAGATCCGTGGCATGATTAAGACCTGCCAACGGCATAAATAATCGATCAACGGCCAAAATGCTGACGAAGCAAATATTTAGCGTTTATTAGATCATAATGTTACACGCCATTTTGGTCTAGCCTAATTGACCGAACTTTTGTTTAAACACTACCCGAGAGTGTATGATGCCGTGCGTGTGGCATGGTATTCTTATCTTTCCAGAACACTTCGTACTACTTCCATTACCTGAATTGTCTAAGGTGGCGAGTCTACTTGTTGATGCTGGAATTTGCCGAATTCGCCCTTGAATTTACGATTTATTGTGACAAAACACAAATCCCAATAGGCGAAATCAAAATTAATAAGAATAAAAAAAGAGGATTATCTAGATTAAAGAAAGATAACAGACGTAGTTACAGAAAATAAATCTGTACTGCATAGAAATATCGTCATGACGAGACGTTAATTAAAGGCCCATTTCGTTCCTTCCAGAGGTCTGTAGTTTTTCATTCCTTTCACAAGTCTGTAGTTTTTCGTTCCTTTCACAGGTCTGTAGTATTAACTGGCCAACCACAACACCAGAATGGGATGTATGGACTTCATCATAATCCACATCATTTTAATACGTTTGATTCTGTTCAGAGTTTACCTGTAATGTTGGGTGATTACAATATTAGAACAGGTAGGTCTATAGATAACGACAACCAGGTATGAATCGACACCCTAGGTGTATTTCTCGACTAAATCTATTTGTTAAGGCCAGCTCATTTTTTTCTGGTCGCTGAGATGTAATTAAGGTTAGGGCACGCGATTGTTGGCGAGATTGTAGGTTAGGGTTTGGGAGAGCATCTAGGCTAGGTCCAGGGTTAGGGTTAGGGTTGGGATTAGCGCTAGCCTTGTTTACATCTCGTGACCTATGACGAAAAATTGAGCTGGCCTTATCATTTAGCACTAAACGTTTATTTCCTCGTCTGTAATATCTAAACAGGACAACCACGGCATCAACATGGAATGTCAATTAATTCAATTCGATTTTGATCATCACAGTTGACCTGTCAAAAAGAGTAGATGACAATGGCGCTGTCCTGGCTAAATTCCCCACTCCCGTGATTCGCCAATTTAATTTGTTTTTCTTATAATCACCCTTTAAAAAATGTGTTTCAGATTTCTTCGGCGGGGAATCCTAATTCAAATACAAAACTTTTTTTTCTTTTGTCAAAGATTTTTAGTTCCATTTTCTCTTCAAGTTTTAAAATTTAACACAAAAGACGGTTCCCGAAACTCAAACGGGTATTTATTTATCAACAACCCCGAAGAAGTTAAAAGTTAATCTGTTTGACAAGTAGGATTTGATAGAAATAACAGAATAAATTAATCTTTTAATAACCTAGATTGATACGGGCAGATTAGAGAGTCACGGTGGCTCAGTGAGTAGGAAGTTGGCTTACTAACCTAGAGGTCCCGTGTTCGATGCTTGCGTTGGGCGAGGGACATAGCCAAAGGACAGCGTGTAGTCGTTCGGATGGGACAAAAATCAGAGGTCCCGTGTACATATTGGCGTGCACGTAAAAAAAACCTATTGAATGTTAGAATTGGATATAAGAGTAGGCCGGAGCGCGGCTGTCGGGCAAAATTTCCCTCATAGCACACTGTATGGCGTATGCCCGTCTTCATTAGCTCAGTAGGAGCAGAACAGTAGGACGTTAAACCCCATTTCATTTACTTGCAGTAGGCCTATAGCATTTGTCAAATCATTTTAAATACTGTAAAGTATTTGTTTGTTATTTCACAGTATTCGTGCTTAATTACCTGGGAAAGATTTTGAGGTGTTGTAAATACCGTAATTTCAGTGTCTTCAGAAAACCGATTTATAGGACATGGTGAATAAGAAAATGGTTTAGGGTCAGCGATTCGTGTTAGACAAAACTAAAATCAATCTGATTAAAATAGAGATCTATATTTTGTTTCGTCTTTTTATACTTTCATACAGACAAATAAAATGAAATTTTGAACTATAATAAACGAAACGAAATAAATGAAATGAAATGAAATGAAATGGAGTTTAACGTCCTACTGTTCTGCTCCTAACCTGGGCTAATGAAGACGGGCATACGCCATACAGTGTGCTATGAGGGAAATTTTGCCCGGACAGCGGCACTACGGCCTACTCTTATATCGAATTCCAACTGTCAAGGGATCTTTTACGTGCACGCCAATGTGTACACAGGACCTCGGTTTTTCGTCCCATCCGAACGACTAGACAGCTTTCCTTGTCAGCCCCTCCGTCCTGCATCACTGACAAGGGAGAACCACGCCGGAAAATCTGGATGAACTTTCTCGGCCAATGCAGGGATCGAACACCCGACCTCCAGGCTAGCGACGAAACGAAATAGGATATGTTTGTCTGCGATGTCACCTCGGTGGAAGCGGACGTAAAATGCAACTAACTCACAGGATATGTGTTTTAATCAGATTGAACTAAAGTCGGTCTGTTAACCACAAACACAGGTATTGTTTTGTTGGCTTTCTTTTGGTCTGTTAAACACACCTTGTTTATATTTACAGGTATAATAGGTAAAAAGCACGTGGGTCCAGATTATGTTTATAAATTTGATTATGAACAAACAGAAGAAAATAATAATTTGGATCAAGTTGGTAGAAATATTACCTGCATGAAGAATCTTGTTCATGAATTTCTCAACGACAATGATACCAGGTATGTTTTATTCATTTCCTGTTGACAAAGCTCAAATTGTTGTAAATGCGAGGTCGATAGCATGCGAACACACACGTCCGTGTATCGCTACAGCAAACATGATCGGAAAAAATAACGTACTGGCAATCTTGTTATATGTTGGGTATGCTTATGGCAGTAACAATATATTATGGCAGTAACAACAGTAACAATATATTATGGCATAATAGGATGTTAAACCTCTATTTCATTTCATTTCGCTTTTGATTACAGGCCCTTCTTCTTATATATCGGAATCCACGACCCTCATCGGTGTGATGCATATGGTAAAACTGGTGGGAAGGGGGAATTCTGTGAGAATTTTGGTGATGGTCGTCCTGGTAACGGTGTTATACAGGATTGGACGCCCACGTATTATAGCCCGGATGATGTGAAGGTACCGTATTATATACCGGAAACTCCAGCTGCTAGAAGAGATATTGCCAACTTTTATAAAACACTCAGTAGGATGGACCAAGGTAGGATAATTGTGAATTGTTTCAATGGCATTTAGTATTTGAACTGGAATATACAGGTGACAATTCTTTGGAATACAATTACTGAGCGACGTTTCGACTAGGCTTCTCTAGTGATTATCAAGCAATGACTAGAGAAGCCTTGTCGAAACGTCGCTCAGTAATTGTATTCCATAGAATTGTGACCTGTATATGATTATTGTGGTACGTACGTAGTGGAAAGCTGGGGTTTATGCCATCAGGATGGAAAAGAAAAGAAATGAAATGGGGTTTAACGTCCTATGCTTCTGCTCGGACTGGGCTAATAAAGACGGGCATACGCCATACAGTGTGCTATGAGGGAAATTCTGCCCGGGCAGCGGCACTATGGCCTACTCTTATATCGAATTCCAACTGGCAAGGGACGTTCGGATGGGACGAAAAAACGAGGTCTCGTGTATACATTGGCTTGCACGTAAAAGATACAAAACCTTAAGAAGCATGAAAAACTAAAATTGTGTCCAGCATTTTGCACACTTCTTTTTGAAATGCAGTAGATCAAAAGTCTTGGAGTGAAGTCGGGTGGGACAGTTACGCTATTGGTGCGTGCGTAATTTCAATATCATGTCGTGTATGGTCGGAACGTCTTAATATACCGTTTATTCTGGAATTATGGGCCTCGCGGCGGGCGTCATGTGCAAAATACTGGAGTAGGGTCGCCTGTCCAACCTCGTGGGTTTTCTCTGGGTCCTCTGATTTTCCCCCACTGCTAAAGACCCCTACGCGCTAGCGAATTATTGAAATAAAATTGAACGATATGTTAGTCTCGATATGATCTAGGCAAAAATGACCACATTAAATTCCATACCATTCCCAACTTTCAGGAATTGGTTTATTTATGAAGGAGTTAGAAAATGCGGGTTTTATGGAGAACACGATGGTCCTATATTCCTCTGATAACGGTATTCCATTTCCTACTGCTAAAACCAATCTGTACGAAGCTGGTATGATGGAACCGTTCATGATTTCTTCACCTCTAAATAAACAAAATTGGGGAAAGGTGAGTTCGTTTCCCGGGGCTGGGTGTCGAGTAATTGTAAGTACGTTTCCCTGTGTTGGATCAATACCCAGTGCTGTGTGTCGAGTCCGTGGAAGCGCATTTTCCCTGTGTTGGATCCTGAAGGCTGGGTATCGGGTCCCAGTGGTGGGTGTCGGGTATATAGATGCGCATTTTCCCTGTGTTGGATCCCCAAGGCATGGTGTCGGGTCCATGAAAGAAGATTTTCGCTCTGTTGGATCTTCATGGCTGGGTGTCGGGTCCACGAAATCATGTCGAGTTCTCTCTATTGCATCCCCAGAGCTACCCGGACCGGCAGTCTCCTATAAAACACATTCTGACACCTCCAACCCCACCCCCTTCTGATACGCACATATGAACTGTACACAGCAGTATAGATTTGATTCCAAGGCCGTTCAGTGGTTTTGTAAACTCTATGCAGGCTATAAACAAAATAAGAGACCAACCCCAAAAAAACCCGTCGCAGTTCCTAGAGGGTAAATGTTCCTGTTTTTAACTTTTCATATTTTTTTTCAGCATGCCGATGCTTTGGCTAGCACCATGGACATAACGCCCACAGTTCTTGACTGGTTCAACATCTCCACTTCACGAACAAATAAAGTCAAACTAACTGGACGATCTTTACTAGATGTAGTCGTGAACACGAGTACGGATCACCCAGTCGTTTATTCTAGTCACACCATGCATGAAGTCACCATGTATTATCCAATGAGAGTGATTAGAACGCACCAATATCGTTTAATACATAATTTAAACTACCACGCACCTTACCCCATTGCTTCAGATTTATTCGGCGCCCAGACGTTCCAGGATATGCTGAATCGAAGCGCTAATAGCGAGAGTTTAAACTGGTTTAAAACTCTCGATGAATATTACCACCGACCGGAATTTGAGCTCTTCGATTTCTCCACCGATCCAATGGAACTCAACAACTTAGCCAATAGACCCGAGTATCAAGACATTTTGAAACAATTGAAGCAGCAATTACTTGACTGGCAGATCGAGACTAAGGACCCGTGGTACTGTCTACCAGGCGGAGATGTGATGAACAACGAGTGCTATGCATTGCGCAATGGAGAAACATTTGTGCCGGCCAAAGGCAATATACCTCATTTTGAAACTGTCAATTAAAGGACGTGGTCTGCAATAAATTGAAATAATCGGATGTGTTATTTTGTTTAGTAAGACACCGGAAGTGGGTCCTTAACTTCGTTTCCTTTTGGAGAGAGAGAGAGAGAAATGGGGTTAAACGTCCACTCGACACAAACTAGGTCATTTCGGGACTAACATATGGTTTTAATTTTTATTTCAATAATTCACTTGCACATAGGGGTCTTTAGCGGTGGGAGGAAACCGGAGGACCCGGAGAAAACCCACGAGGTTGGACAGGCGACCCTACTCCTTGTCAAGTACAACCGGGGATTCGAAACCACGCCAGTTGACTCATTGACAGGCCTTATGATACAGCGCACACATGCTAACCATTCGGTCATCCCCCCTCCCCCGTTTCCTTTTGGACTATAAACATCGGTAATTGACTTTATTATATGGATATAAACTTTTGGACTGTAAATTATTTTTTTTTAATTTATAGCGATTAATCAATTGGACACTTACATGCCAATTCAATTTCCAGGACCCTGTTTCTCGATAAATTTTAGTAGATACTTCAATTTTGATTGGCTAAGCACTAAAATCAATCTAATATTATCCAATCAAATTGCTAAAATTTGGATTTTATCTAAGTTAAAATTTCGTGAAGTTTCCATTGTCCAGTATTAATAGTGCAGCCCAGATGGTGTTGAAGATGTTCCCGATCACTTCCCATGGGAAAATAAAATTATTTTGAATTTTTGTTATGAAACTGAATAAATGATTATCTAATGCTATTGAAGAGAGAATTGGAGTCTCAAAAGATCGAAGGCTACGATTTAGTAAACGCGAACGCTTAACAGCCACAAGGCATGGGGGAGAAGGGCGGGGGTAGGGTCCGCCAGGGACACCATGCATGGTGTTGTGTAGTGGAAGACGTTTCTCATGGCTAGAGAGACTTATGGGAGCTGAGGGGTCAGGGGTTTTGAACGGTTTAACGCGCTCGCTTAATAGATCATAAGGTCTGTCATTGAGTCAAGTGGCGTGGTTGCGATTCCCCGCTTCTACGTGACAAGGAGTAAGGACGCAAAAAGAGAGAAAATAAATAAAATAAAAAATAAGAAAAAATAAATTAAAAAAAATTCAAACGTGGTTTATAAGGTAAGTGTTTAAACACCACCTGCATAAAGGATCGACTAAAAAGGTGGGGGAAAAGTAACACCTAGCATTCCACATTTTATATCAAATTCGGCTTTACAAATATTATATAAGACATCAACAAAATAATCCCAATAATCTCTGTCAAAGCATTTTAAAATAACAGAGAACTTGTCCTATGGGCACGCTCTGTAGTCCGGCTTCGTGAACTCCTTGACCTTGGGAAAGACTACGATAATTCGATTGAACAAAAGAAAGGAGCAGAGAAAAATATGAAAGGTAAAGAAAACGGAGACCGTGGATGAATTTCATTGTTGCAGTCTTGAAATGTAACGTGAGGGAGCAATAACGATTATGAACTGTACAAATAGTCGTTAACCCAGAACCTCTCCCTGGCGCAGACCCCCAACACACCAGAAATATATACAATTCATACAGCACGTTTAACGCTGGATTGCAACTTAAATTCATTTCAGTCTCACAGATCCGGGTGCTTTGAACCCCTTTTTTAAAATCTACTTTAGAAATGTTACTGAAAACATCGCCATAGCTGTCTTACCGTTCAATCATTTTTTTTTTTTGAAATAAATTTTCATTGCATCCCAACAAAGACAGAATAACTGCTTTATTCGCTATTTGTTTGAAATTGTAACGATAATAACAATATGTATGGAAAGGGCTACTCTAAGTTTTTGAAACTTGTACCTGGTCCTTTTGATATCTGTCAATAAAATATGTTTATAGGGACATTATGTAAGCTTTAGATAAAGAGTTGGCCGTTCTAGCTATAAAATTTCAAAAATAGATAGTGCAAAATGAACATTTTGACAAGATGAGTGACGTGATATTAAAGTTAACTAATGTTTAATTAATAATTTATATAATATTTAAGGCCCAATGAAAGACCTGCAATGGGCGGATTTAGTTCTTGAATAATGTATGTTTAAATTAACTATTTTATAAATGTACAAATTATAAAGAATAACTGTATGCATGTATTAGTCAATTACTAATTGTGAAATAAAGTTGGCCTTAAATATGAATAAATATAGGCCTAGTTAAAATTATTCATATTCTGCAATGTATTTATATCCTGTAACTTCGGGCCTCCCATATTGGGCCCCGCATGTTCTACAACCGGCCTTATCGGTTGACTGGCAAATTATGTCTATCTATTCGTGCTATACGCTGATGACGACGATGCTGTTGTTGGGCGTATGTTACCTTGACTGGCAAATTATGTCTATGATGACGACGATGCTGTTGTCGGGCGTTATGTTACCTTGACTAGCAAATTATGTCTATCTATTCGTGCTATACGCTGATGACGACGATGCTATTGTTGGGCGTATGTTACCTTGGCTGGCAAATTATGTCTATCTATTCCCATAAAAACAATCTGACGAATTCAAATCACAATTTAGTTTTGTTTGCTTTTCTTATTTTTAACCAAAGAACTAAAACGAAACGGCAATTCTATAATTTATTCTTACCGAATAACTCTCTAAAAATATTTTTTAGCGCAGAAATACAGAATGGTAGCAAAGAACATGTTGAAAAGGTTGACGAGTATAATCAGAGTTAATTAGTTTCGTAGCTATCAATTAAAGGTTGGGATGATGCTATTTTAAAAGATTTAGTTATAATAAATACTGTGTCGCCAAACATTTCAGTCTTCTGCATCATGCACTAAACTAAACGTCGAGAAGAAAAAACGTGAGAAATTAACAATACGCCAATTTTGGTGTTTTTAATCATTTCAATGTTTCTTTTAATGCAGTGTAAACAGACCTTTGTTGGTGTAGGTGTGTTCTTATTTACCATCGATTTATCCTCAATTTCTGACCTATTTTAATCCCTAAACACGTTACAAATCTTTTTACATATTTTTTTCAATAATATTTAATCATAACATATTTCTCCTATGACGTTTATATTGGTGGTTAGGTGTACTGTGGATGTGTCCGTGTTGAAGGGGTTGAAAAGATTTGTGAAGAGTTGCCCTAGGCATGTGGACAGAGACTTGGTAAATTTATATTTAGGTACAGTCAAGGAGTATTAAAGACGCTTTTGATAAATCAACACTCCTCTCAGTTGTTTGTTTCTCTGTTGTTCAAGTGAGAAAGTTCAACGGGATTTTCCGATGTGGTTTCCCCTTGTCAGTGATGGCCTGACAAGGACAACTGTCTAGTCGTGCGGATGGGACGATAAACCGAGGTCCCGTGTATACATTGGTGTGTACGTAAAAGATCCCTCGGAAGTTGGAATTCGATATAAGAGTAGGATATAGTGCCGCTGCCCGGGCAAAATTTACCTCATAGCACACTGTATGGCTCCAGTCGGAGCAGAACAGTAGGACGTTAAACCCTTTCTAGTGCGGGGTAAACTGGTCAAATGTGCGAAAAACCGGCCCTACCCCAACAATCCCAAATTCCGTGTGTCCCCTCCGCTACTTTGGCAAATTCATATTGTCCTTGATCGTTACTATCACTTAACGAGATGACATCGAGGGCTGTCTATTGCCCATTCTATTATAAAAAATATTCGACCGTCTACACGCCAATTTACTATAAATGTGTTACAAATAGTCTCAATGTGGCATCTTGAAGCTGTTTATTCTCACAAATTAGAAATGATTTGATGAAATATGAATAAAATGGTCTGTACACCGTTTTCCCATTGAAACGAACCCAGCCTTAAATATCTAATTTCTCCGGTGATTAACCAATGTAAACACGCCATCTATAACATAATATTAATATTTTACTCCTTACAAAATCCCTTTTACTAACATTCACTTTTTTCTTCTTCTGGGCACGTTCATTTTGTTATTCATTAAAGGATCTTTCAGCTTCCCAGCTCTCTCACACTCTCTCACACAAATAGTAAAACATTAAAGTGACACTCCTCGTAAATATGATACATTTATATTCAAAGCAACAACCAGAATAACCGAATGGATTTCTATGTTTTATTGTTTGAAGGAATTTCTACGTTTATTGTTATAAATAAGTTCAGGACCGTAATTAACTCAGAGCAACGAGGTGGGTGGAGGGTGGGGGTCAGGAAGTGTTCTCAGGGGTGCTATAAAATTGACGGACAATGTATATCTATTTTTGTGTATGGTCGACAATTTTTTCATGGGAGGAGGGGCATACTTTTTGCTGGGGGTGGGGGGCTTTAGGCCTGACTAAGTTTGTCGATGCCCATAATATAATATGTTTTAATTAACACTTTGAAAAGACTGGACGTGGTTGATTTTGATATGGTGCCTTTTATTTATATTCAAAGCAACAATCATACCCCAATCTTCATGTTATTTCTCGAATGGATTTCTACGTTTTATCGATTGAACAAATTTGAACGAATTTCTACGCTTTATTGAAAGAACGAATTTCTATATTTTACTGATTTAACGAATTTCTACATTTTATTGATTTAACGAATTTCTACGTTTTGTTGATTTAACGAATTTCGACGTTTTATCGATTGAAAGATGGGCGCTAGAACCTACAGAATGTACACGGGACTTCGGTTTTTCATCCCCTCCGAACGACTAGACAGCTGCCATTGTAAGGTCCTCCGTCCTGCATCACTGACAAGGGGAACCAGGCCGGAAAATCTGGATCAAATTTCTCGGCCAATGCAGGGATCGAACAGCCGATCTCCAGGCTAGCGAGTCAGCGTCTTACCCACTTAGCCACCGTGGTTCCTTTAAGGAATAACATACAAGATAATTATACCGACCGACGAGTATAATCCCAGTGTTGCTATAATTACTCAGTTATTAATTCAAACATTTTTTTGGGGTTGGGTAAAGATATTATGAACGTATATAAATATTAGATAATTAAGAATCTTCATATCATATAATCCCAATTAAGTGT